TGGGGAACAGGGAACTCCTGATCATTACATTTTCTCATGCCCCTTAACTGAGGATATCCTTACAAAATCGCCATCATCTAGCATTCCAAAGGTTTCTAATTAAAAATAAACATCAGTATCCAAAATTTCAAAAAAATTTTGCAACGACTCTCTTCCTACGGCCTAGATCTCTGTCAAGTGTAAGTCCATATACTTTATAAATTTATAGAACTTCTACATGCTGTGATTAGGGACAAAATGACTCCATTCGTGAACTTTATAGATTACAGTAAACCTTTATATCTGAAATAACCCACGGACACCCACCTCTTTAACATTATTATTACAATTCATTATAACACTGTGTTGCCAGTACTAATTATAATTATCTCATTATGTTTATCTGTTTACTAATTATGTTTATCTCCTATTTTTTTGCACCAAATCAGATGTTCAATTTCACTTGTGGATTTCAAATTGTATTCAGACTATTTTGTAATCTACTTATGTCCTACAACATTATTTTTAATAAATACTGGATGCGGGGCGTACAGTGGGATTGCACGATGTGCCATAATAGGCAAACTCTAGACCATTTGGAAAGCTTCAGTCTATGTAAATTCTTATAAAACTTGCGATTCCCCGCCTTTTTTTAAGGAGTTAGTAAGGGAAGGCATTACTAGTTGGCCTATGGTACATTGGTGTCACCCCATACTTTTACCTGTACCTGTACCTGTACAGCAAATTTCTCAGAACTTGGTCTTCCTTTTCCAAAAAAGTGAAGCCTGCTTCACTGTCATTAATTTTGTATTGAACTTTCTAACTGAGACAGACTTTTCCTTCCTCCTCTGTTGCTCTTTCAGATGCAATAGGGCTTGGTTAGTCAGTGTTTTGAAATCCTCCTCATGTAAGTTTAAATCAAGTTGCCTGCTATTGCTGACGACATTCACAATTTCATTCTTTCTTTCATCATTTTAATTAAAACCCCGAGAGTATGAACAGGACAGAGACTCATATGTTACCAAGTGCCGTTCATTGTTTACATCTATTACATGATCCCACGCGTAGTGGATGCTTTGTATAAAATTATAAATACTGCAGTCATTTGTAAAGTACCATAAAATGATATTGGGTTTTTTATCAACATTTTAAATGCCTGGAAATATGTACAGAGTGTATAATACTTTTTTTAATTGACAATTACTCCTGGTCCATAGTTTGTAAGTAGTAGCACATACAACTATCGAGGCCAGGTGTGGAAATCTTCCTGGTATTTCCCTTATTGGAATTATTACCATATAAAGTGTGAACAAAAATATATAATTCATATTTACTTAATTAAAAGAATTAAATAGTTAAAATTATTTATAAAACTAAAGCTAAGACTAAAGAAAAAAGAACTTGCATTTAGCAAACAAACATATATTTAAAAATGCTTATTAATGTGCTGTTTTTGTTGGTATAAAAAAAATTGTTTTTACCTTTTTGTCAATAAAGAAAGCTAAAACTATTTTTGCGAGCTTTGACTTCTGAAAATTTATTTCTAGATTCATCGAAATAAATGTTTTTAGCTACTGCATTTTCAATGGAAAAGATTGCCAAACCGTAAAATCTTACTCGGCTTATAGTTGATCAACAATAGCTTTTAATCAACTTGAACTTCGGAAAGCTTTTCTCGCAAGAAGCGACTAAAACACACATTGTCTCCTTCCCCTCAAAAAAAAGAAAGAAAGAAAGAAAACTTTTAGGGTTAAATATAAGTTAGGGATTGATTCTTGGAAGTTTATTTCCACAATAAGCTTTAAAATTTCCAATGCAGATGACTTTTTACCTTTGTGCTTTTTTATATTCCTATATATGGGTATTAAAATCTTGAAGTTCTTTGAGGGCCCCCTAACTGTAAGATCAATACTGTATTAGGTGGAAAAAAGAAAGGTTTTAACATCGGGATAGAAATCGTCTAAATCTTATGGATGGCCAGGTGTATTATCTTCATCAGGAGAATCGTGAAAGAAATATCTTTCTTTCTGACGGTACCGATTCGCTTCTAAGATTAGATGAATCCTTCCTCATAGTCAAATGCTCCCATTTTACATCCATATAATACGAAAAAAGTTTTAATTTATGTTTTTCAATGCCCTAGGAATAGCAACATGGTAATCTAATAAAAGTTTTAGTTAACATCCGTTTGTCTATTTTATTTTCTACTCCAAGCACATTTCAATCTTTCAGAACAGGCTTATTCATATCTGCTAAAATTCGTAGAATGCTGGATTTAACCACTCTAGAAGCTCGATGTTTTGAGCATTATAATCCATCTAAAACAAATCTGGGTCCACAAGCAACTCTAAACAGCCTTACCTGAGGGTTCAGAATTTTATCCACAGCACGGTTATAGAACGTCCCTCAGAGAGATGAAGCTCAGTGTGGCCATTTTCCCTTAGAAAGTTTTCTACAAAGACAACCTTCTCCTTACACAAATAACCCTCATATGCTTAATCATATTCAACTAAGCTAATCTTACACAAATGTCTTTTATAACTATGCAATGGATAAAATATTACCAGTTCTGTATATAATTCAATCATATTAGTCATTCACCTTACATTTAATTGGCATATTATTATATGTTCTTCACAGTTTATATTTAATTATAGACTCAAGAGACACCGTACTTTTATTACTAGTCAACCTGATAAGTTTTCCCACTTAAGTCTTTGTAGGTGACTTATGTGCATGTGTCTGTCATGAATGTAAGCTATAGATGGGATAAATATGCATATAAAACATTTTACCTTTTAAGACGCTGAAGGCATATTAACTTTTTCAAGTGGAACACCTGTAATAATGAATACTGTTCTTTGTTCATTGCAAGGATGTAATATATTTTCCTTATTTATTCACAGATTTTTCTCAGTGAGAAGGAAAAACAAATGTTTCAATGGTCTTAAACATTTACACTTTGTAAGGAAAATGTAATATCAAAATATATATTTCACAATTCATAGTATATGAAGATCACACCATAAACTGCAGTACAGTTTCATGAAGGGCATCTTGCTTTATGCATGATGTGAAGCATAAATATTCAAGCAATACTTCTTACAATCAAGCAAAATTTGCAGAAACTTTCAATTTTTCTTTACTTTTAATAAACAACTTACAGAAGAGAAAAGTAACAGCCAGATATCTCTTGCAATTACTGCAACTCAGTAAACAAAGCAATGTTACCGAGTGCAGTTTATCACTTAAGAGACTGCTTTCTGAAACTAATTATTGCAATTGTTGAAATGTGAATTAAGATCTTTGAACATTAACTTGAATCACAGACATACTGGCAGATAAATTCCACCTCATAACAGAAAACTTTTCAGTAGACACAACCAAAGCAAAGATAAAGTTCAGGTAAAGAATGTTTACCAAATTCTAACTTAACAAGCCACATACTGTTATGGAACCACCACCATTAGGTTGTGAGAGCCATAATTTCATGAGATTTTCACCATACAGAAAGATTTCAATCTACTCAAAATTGTTTGACATGCAACTTCTCAGATTATGTTAGTCATTTACAGTCATATCCAACCGAGATGTTTTCAGTTCCAGGAAAGGCAAATAACTCGGTATCACGCATTCATTAGTGGTACTTATGTTCCTTGTTGACTTCTAAATCTCATGTTAATTTAACAATCTTCCTTTGATGTTTACTGAGGCCTCAGAGTTCCATTGTTATTACACAAAGTTAAATGCCAGTGCCATGAAACAATTCTTGCCTGCTAATACTGGCCACATTAATACAGACTCTTTAAAGCCACAATGCTATCATTAGTGAAGGCTTTCCAAGAATTCTTAGAGCACAACCCCTGGAATAGTTGCATAAGCAAATCCAAATTTTACTTCTGCATCTATCTTCCTCATAATAAATGCCACCATGGACCTCAAAACCTCCCACATGTTATTTTCATCATATATTAAATGTGGAGATGAATCTGTTTTACTTTCTATTTTACAAATCATAAATACAAAAGATATATGTGCTTATGCTATGTAACAAAAACAATATTTTTCTTCATATTATATTCACACATAAGAACTGCAAATACTCTGATTAGGAACAAGAGGAAGCTCATGAAGAAGTATTAAGTGTCTTTTGGTGAAAAGAATGAGAATACAAAAAGCCCATGCCAACTACAGCTATTAAGGACATCCTGAAGAAGTGGAAATTAGACAGATTCCATGTTTTCAGAAAATAAATTTATTTAATTACATGGTAAGATATCAAGGTCACAGCAAACAACGGCATTCTATATAAATTAACATAAACAGAGTGGCTGATGTATTCAATAATAATCATGCACTTCTTCAATACCATCCTGAGGAAAATTAAAATAAGTTTAGGCAACTTCTAAACAATTTTAAATAGCTTTTTAAACAAGGATCATGCATAAAACTAACAAAAAATATGTACAAAAATACAGAACAGCTAAGTTTCCAAGCAGAAGAAACCAAGGAGGACTCGGAGTAAACTGGACTAAAAAACTGTGATGTGTCACATAAAATTTGTGTAAATAATTTTATTAATAATAAATTAAAAGATACTATGCATTTCGAATATTGATGTGGTTTTTAATATTTTGTGACATTTTTATAGCATTTGGCAAATTTTGACTCTGCTCAGAAATGGATTAAAATTTGTCCACACAATAAAACCATCACAGAATGGATTACATTTTTTATACAAGGCAACAACTATACTTCCAAAATGCTTTGGCCCATCTTCATGAGTTGTAACTGTTAAATCATATTAATTACAATTTTATGAAAAATTATCATTCTTACAGTAGCTGTTACAGATGTGTATTACTGTTGCATATGTGTAGTAGAAAATTATGTCCACTGCTACGTGTTTCACACAGACTTACTTGTAATAGTTTTACTGGCATTTTAGAGTACACAAGAGATAATTTTATAATGGAACTGAATATGCATACCATTATCAAGTGAAAAGAAACAAAATTATATAATTTTTAACAAATAATTTATTTTGTAATAAAAATATATTTATACAATATATAAAACCAGGCTATACATAAAATCAGACTATCAAAAATAACTTAACCAGGTATATCATCAGTAATTTCACTGTCTTCAACTTCTCTTGCTGATGGAAAGTAAACTTTAAAGGAGAAGTTGGACCGAGATAAAGAGCCCTATAAAAGTATCACAATGGGGATTTAATAACAGAGTATTTTGAACATTTTCTGAGAAGAAAACACAAATTTTGCCTAAATAAATACAAATTAATTCATATTGCTCAATTAATAGAAAGTTACTATAGAAATTACATAATCTGATAATATAAAATATTTTAATTTATAAAAATCATAAATAGCAAAGTAACTTTGTAAAGCTTAAAAACAGAAACTTGCAAACAAAACAAGTTAAGAACAAACAAGGAATATATTTCTGAATAGCTAGAGACTTATCTATTAAGCAAACAAGCAAAATCCATTTATTTAACCATGTCACTACCAAGGACATGACCCAGTGTGTACCCCAAAAGCTGACAATACTACACACATAAGCAAAGAGGGGAGGAAATGCTTAAATAACAAAGCCTAACACAGAAATGAATCTGTGTTATGCTATGAATAAATGAATATTGTTGCGTGCGTACAGGTTCATTATGAAATGAATGCACAAGTCCGATGAAAAATGAACAAAAATTTATTATTATCACAAGAAAAATGCTTAAATTTTCTCAAATTATCATGCAGTATTACAATATCGCACGGCAGTTTATCTTTTAACTACTCAAATGTCCAAGAGAACGTAATTCAAAACAGCTAAAGAACGCTAATCCGCGAATTCGCTACAATCAACAAGAGCAGTTTTCTAAACAACAACAAACTAAGCAACTACAACAAACTGAGATGTTTTCCTCCTATTATAAGATTTTAAAATCACGCGCTAGAATTTTCCAGTACTTTCTCGAAATCAAAAAGAGATATTTATTTATTTAATGCATGCGCTCTTGTATTTTCAATTTTCTGGCTTAGCTTTCTTTTAATATTCGTCAAAACCATTTAATTTATAATTAAACTAACATTAGATCAAAAAGAGATATTTATTTATTTAATGCATGCGCTCTTGTATTTTCAATTTTCTGGCTTAGCTTTCTTTTAATATTCGTCAAAACCATTTAATTTATAATTAAACTAACATTAGCTTTTTAAATACCAAATTCGTAACAATATGTTATGAATCTGTGTGTAACAAAAGAACACTCTTGGTTTCACAAGCAGCCTGTACTAACATATACTGTCCTGCAGTGGCAGAAAATATGAAAGTGGGCTGTAGCCCAAGTAAATTTTATAGTTCTATTTACCTCTGAAAAGCAAATCTATAAAAACATTTCAATATGAATGAAATTCGTTTATTCTTCCTAAGCAACAACCAAATCGTAAATATGAGGCGTATTCGGAAACTAAGTACCGTTTTGAAAAAAAAATAGTAAAACAATTTTTTTGAATCCAATTTTATTTTTACATGAAAATACATATCTTAAACTATTTTTCAACATAGTTTCCGCCAATGATCAAACACTTGTCATAGCGGGTGACCAGTTTTTGTATACCATCGTCAAAGAAACTTCCCGCCAGTTTCGATAACCACGACTCCACAGCATTTTCGTGTCATCGTCAGATCCAAAGCGCTTGTCACCAAGCTCGCGCTTCATGTGCAGGAGCAAGTGATAGTCGGATGGTGCCAAGTCAGGGCTGTATGGCGGGTGATCGAACTGCTCCCAATGAAACTGTCGAATTAACGATTGAGTGACACCAGCAGTATGGGGCCGAGCATTGTCATGGAGCAACACAATTCCTTTACTGAGCATTCGTCTTCGTTTGTTTTGAATGGCACGCCTTAGTTTTGTTAAAGTCTCACACTATTGTGCCGCATTAATGGTTTCACCTCTGGGAAGAAATTCAGTAAGCAAACCGCCTTTCCTATCCCAGAAGACAGTGCACATGATTTTTTGTGATGACACTGTCACTTTGAACTTTTGTTTTTTCGGAGAATGAGTGTGTCTCCACTCCATCGATTGTTGTTTCGATTCTGGTGTGAAATGACACACACAAGTTTCATCACCTGTCACAATTTGGTTTAAAAAGTTTTCTTCCTCATCACTGTACCGCGTGAGAAATATCAGGGCACTACCAAGTAGCTTTGTTTCGTGAACATCAGTGAGCATTTTTGGAACCCATCGGGAACAGTTTGCGATAATTCAAGCGGTCAGACACAATTTCGAACGAAACAATACGTGAAATTTGTGGAAATGCCTTTGAAAGAGTTGTCATTGTGAAGCGTCTGTTCTCATGAATTGCTTCATCAACTTTTCTTACCAAATCATCGGTGACAACAGAAGGCCGACCACTCCGAGCCTTTGGCATGGACATTTGTTCGACCTGCATTAAACATTCTTACCCACTTTCTCACCATTCCATCACTTATTGCATATTCACCGTAAACTTCTGTCACTTGACGATAAATTTCGGCCAGTTTAACATTCCTGGCGTTCAAAAATTTAATCATGGCACGAATCTCACAGTCAGCGGGAGAACTAATTGTCTTAAACATTTTGAATGTGCACAGCAAACTGAAAACACAACATAGAGCAACCAAAATGGTGACAATTGAAAGTCAGTGAACAAGAAAGACTAGTGCGCATGCGCGGGACGCCTACCACAGCGCTGCGATGGCGCTAGAATGAAACGGTACTTAGTTTGCGAATACGCGACGTAATTATTATTAACAAACCAGGTAACAAAAATTTTTTACACTTCAGGTTAATACATAATGATGTCATAATTAAATTTAATGTAATATAACAACATTTTCTCAATATCAATAAAAGAAATAACATGGCAATAACACATTGTGTCAATTACACTAACCTGAAACAAAAAAGTTGCCAACAGCAGCTATTAATTTAACTTGCTGACATTAACACGTTGACTGCCCAACACAAGATAACTCGGATTAGCGCTCTTCTTCAGGACGTCCAATATGAGTTATCTCGTAGTTTCTTGATTTGCCACTTTTGCGCCACTACGAGTTACTTACTCGCTTGTTTTAGCTGTACAGATGCGACAAGTCGAAGCATGTCTGTATGAATCAACTCGTAGTGGGCTTCTGCGAAGAGCTTTGTCTAACAAAAGCTGCCTACTAGATAATTCGTAGGACTCTTTTTTTCTACAAATTAAAAAATCCTGTAAACTTTTTAATGACTGTTACGAATCATAATTGGTATTTTTAATAATATAATATGATTAAATCGATTTGGCTTCTTGGACCGGAATCCAAAAAGTGCTGTGGAAGTCAACGTGTTAACAAAAAATTTTTGACATACAGGCAAAATGGCCTGTACAATGACGTCACATGCAACTGCGTTCTTTCTTCAATGTCAGAATATGACCTTACATAATAATTATGTTTACTGTCAGGCAATGCTAGTTTTATTTCAGATTTTGTAAAACTTCCAAATTTTTTTATTAACAAACTCTACAATTTGAAAGTGAGCAGTAGCAACCTTTTCGAAATAAAGAATTTTTGTCTCCAACGCACAAGACTGTTGCCATTTGGATAAATGAGTGCAAAAATTAGTGTTTAGAGTTTTTAATTATTATCCCGACTGATTAAAGTTGTGAAGATGAAATTAGACGAAATGGCTTCAGATTATTTTTTCAAATTCAGAGTAATATATTAAATGTTTGGTAATGCTCTTTTCATTTCATAGTTTGTAAAACTCGCAATTTTTTTATTAACAAACTCTCAAACTCTACGATTTGAAAGTGAGCAGTGGCATCACTTTTGAACATGAAGCAGATTTTTACCTCCAGCACGTGAGACTGTTGCCACCCGGAAAAGTGAGGACAAAAATAAGTGATTTCAGAGTTTTTAATTTATATCTTGGCTGATTAAAGTGGAGTTAATGCCACAAACAGATATTAATAAATATTATTAAATGATAGTATATATATTAATACAGTAAAAGTCCAGAAATCCGCAAAGCTTTGGGACCAGAGGTTGTGCAGATTTTAGGACAGAAAAAATATTCAGACTAAAAGTGCAAAATAAATAAGGCATATTAGATATTTAATTAAATTATTATATACATTAATAAAATAATTAATTATATGCATTAAATTATTATAACATATATAAACTGATTATATTATTCATTTACATTAGGCTCCTCTATTTTTAAATCAGCATGCATCTGCTTCCCCTTTTCTCTCAGGAGTAGTTCTGAAATAGGTACCCCATAACTTTGCTGCTGCCGGAACCACTCGTACAAGACAGCATCGAGGTTTGCCGATTTCACCTCATGTAAAGATTTCCAGTTTCGGATTCCAGTGTTAAAGTCACTGTTGCTGTAAAATTTCAACAGATTTTCTTTATTGTTCTGTATATCATACACAGTCTGTGTGCCAATTCCATACGATTCTACTATAAACTGAGCAGTAGCACATGCCTCCATCTTTAGAAGAATTTCCACTTTTTTCGTTACCGTTAATGCAACGTGTTTACGTTTTTCAACGTTGCAAGCAGTAAAATCACAATCGTGTTTCTTATCTGTCATTGTATTAAAAAGTGCTGAAATTTAAAATATTTTTAATTTACCCACAAAATATCCGGACAAAAAAAAAATCACATCACTAAACGATCTCGTTTATTTCAAAGCTCAGAAAGTACAACAACAAGGAAGCGTGAACTTGAAAGAAGAGTTGAGTTAAACGTCTGTTTTTTCACCTCAATGCAGATTGGAGAGGAAAAAAACTCTTATCACGATGTCAATAATTTGACATTATGATAAGAGTGTCATGATGTCAATTTCTTACTTTTTGGAGAATGCCTGGAAGAACAATAAAGACATAATATTTGAATGTTTTACTCATGACACTAGAATCTTTTTCTTAATATGTTTATTTTCCCTTTATTTTCTATACTGTTTACTAGACACAAGCATGGAGGAAAATATCAGAAAAGCTTCGAATCTTATCACTTGAGCAGGCATTATATAAAGGAATTTTTTTATTAATAAAGAAATTGAAAACTTACAATTTAAAAGATCCATCTAATTATTATGTCTCAATGCATCATACACAGAGCTGGCACTAGGCATTTTCCCATCTGATGCAATATCTGTGGGTCTTAAGTTCAACTGCATAGTGCCTTTCTAAATTCTGCTTCCAATGCCTGCTCTAATTCCTATTTCCGTTATGACTCATTATTATTCGGTAATTATGATGTCATTATCCAGTATTTTTTTCTTCGATATTTTGTACTTTATGGTGCGGTTTCCGGAACCTATAAACTAAATGTTTATGTATTGAGAGGCAACGCAGATTTCAGGTAGGCGGATTTTCGGTATTTGACTGTAGTATTAATGGCACAGATATTAATAGTATAGATATTGAAGATCACAAAAGACAACATTAACTCTCTACATACAGCTCAATTTTCATACTTTCCATTCCTGAAATACAGGAAATTTTACATTTTCTCCATCTACATTTATTGCTATTCACATCTTTAACAATAATTTTTTAATAACATAAATTTTTAAATAATACAAAAATTTTAACTTCATTTTGTAGATTCAAATTATATATAATACGGCATACACAATTTCAGCAGGCACAATTTGCAAGTTACGAATTGCCCACGATATTCTTTATTTTCAATTAATTTAATTTTTAGTCAATTTTTTGCAAAGTAAAAAGTGTTAGTTATTTATAAATATTACTAACTGTTTATAGTGATTAAAAACATAATTCAATTTGACACTCTTCTCACCAAATGTGAGTCTCTTTATGTATTTGCTTTCTATTCCCCCCCCCTCAGAGCAACACACAGCACACTGTCTTCTAGTTTCCTTTTTTATGGGATTTGCTGGTATAAAGGGGGCAAATGTCTTTCTATAAGGCAAATACAACCCATGTTAGCATCACTAGAACTTTTTAAAGAACAGATTCAAGCTTACGCAAATTCTCTACCATGAAACAGACCCTTTAGAGTCATCTGTTGGTTGGTTGGTGATGGAGGACGGGGATGCCTGATGTCTAACAGAGGTGTAAACAGGCATGTGTCCTGCACCCTGCAGAAATAACTCCCTGAGGCCTCAAGAGGCCGCCTCGGGAGCTTTTTAGCATGTTAACAAGAGCATTTACAGGGCCATTCAAGGGCAGATTGCATTTGTTTACTGTTTTGACATTTGTTGTTGCTATTTGCTATGGTAGTTATGCATATTCATAATAAAATTCATATGAAATAACAAATACAAAAATACAGTTACAAAATAGAATTAAAATACAGGCTCATAGATAAAAATCATTAAGTATTATGCATATACAGAAGAGGAAATGCTAAATACATGCTGGAAACATTTGACTCTATATTATTTGATAAGTGTCTTAATACAGACTTATGTAAATTTTATGAGTAGACTTATGTGTCTGCAGATGTGGAACTAGGTGCTGACTTAGTCAGAGTATTATGCCTTGCGAATTTTGGTTAATGAGGAGAGCATAAATCTCATTCCCTTGAGTGTGTTTGTTGAAATAATGAACACTTAAAAATTTTACTGTACACAGTGAAAGAGCCAGATTCGTATTCAGATCAAGGAAAAATAATCTTTGCCCACAATTTTCATGTGACTCGTAAGTAGTGGACCAAATTGATAACTGTTCTCAAAACACAGAAATCATAAGCAAAAGGTTAAGCCTTTGCAGAATGAGTCACTGCATTTAAAAAAAAAATGATTTTGACATAACAGTTTCACATCTCTCAGGAATATAATCAACGGGAAGGAGAGAATACATCTTATAAATATAATCAAAGAGAAGCTGAAAAACAATAAAATTGTGAAAATAATCAAAATAATTATGTATTTTTATCCACAAAAAAGCAATAGTACTACAATAGTTCAGATTTTCTTCTAATACTATTTCAGTTTTTATTTTATATGTGACTTATTTGTAAATGAAATATATGAAATCATCAGTAAGATAAAAGGTAGGGCTGATATAACTTGAAGAAATAGCTTTTACAGATTTAAGAATGTGATTTATGCTGCTGTTGATCAGAAAAAGTAATTGTTGATGAAGAGTAAATTTTATTTATGCAATTATTTGGAAGTGTCTGGAAATAATATTATTAGTGAATGGCAATGGTAGAGATTTCAGAATAATGAGAATGTTTTATATAATATAATTCTTGACAATTTTAAGAACTTTAGATGATTTTGTTAAAAGGAATGCATCTTGCATACTATACAGGAGACTAAGGCATCTTGGTTATAATAATATGAAAAATGCGAAAAAAATTGCAGTAGAAGACATCCATACAGTTTTACATCCAATTTTCCTACTCTAGATGCTCGATGTAACACTATAATACTGAGTGTACAGGAAAGTTGATGGAACCCAAAAAAGTTTGTAATATAGAAGGCTTCATTATAAACCAGGTTTAGTAGAGTGGGGTTCCACTGTATGTACAATATTCTCAAAATACATATTAAACATAATTGTTTCAGAACTGATATAATAAATGCCAGCAGAAGAAAAAATATTAATCCAAAAGGTGCACTATATACACGTAAAGGGTGATGATGATGAAATTCTATATCAGAAAAGAAACAATTTTTTTTTTTTCTTTGCAGCTTAATGACAGTGATTACTAACATAACCTGACAACCTTTGAACGCAGATGGAGAAACTAAAAACCTTATAATCAAATGGTACATGTAAAAATATTAAAAATATCTTTATTAATTAAATAATTTTTAAACTCTTTAAACAAAATCTGTATTTTAAGCTAACCCACCAAGTGTCTTGGCTGTTTCTGTGTGCATTATGCATTATCTGGTTCTCTGAAGTAACATATATCATTGCTTTTAAGATGCAAAACTCCCATACAGACCTCTCTGATGAAAATGATGTATTAAAATTCCACTTTATTTTCTTTGAATTTAATCAAACTTTGCACATGACACTCAACAGTCTACCTTTATGCAGATGTCTTGCCTGCAATCAGCAAATCACTTATAAATACTATATTTCAATGCTCTAAATGATCAGCATTGGTGTATTATGGGATGGTTAAGATAAAAGCTATTTCGGAGAATTGGATAGATCAGATTCTGGATCAAAATATAGCTTGACAGAATACTGATATCCAGGGTTAAGAAAAGTCTGGATTTGCTATTTAAGAAATTAAAAAAAAAAAAAAAAAGCTATAAATCACTTACATTATGATAAACAGGTAACAGTAATGTTACAAAATAAAATTCTACCACAAAAAGAAGTATTCATGAAACATTCTTTGGTTTTCATTTTATTTATATCTTAAAATCAAAGAAATGCAGTACAGTCAAAAGTCGTTAATTCGGACACCCATAATCCGGAATGATCTATAATCCGGACCTCAAAGCTACAAACTTTCTGCGCATACGTTGCGTTGACACGTAAGACCTTTATGGCTATGAATATGCATGTGCCCATGCGCCTTTAACGTATAACGGATGGTATAAGCTAAGCTAAAACCAAAGAATCATAGACTTTCTTTGGCTAAAATTATCTAATTCAGTTAATGTTGCAGATTGCGTTGTTCCTTAATCTTCGAATTGGATCCCTGGCTTAATATTTTTTGCAGACTATTAGAGCAATTTTATAAAAGTAAGCTTGAACTTTCGATTATGTCAAATAGAACTTCCGATATACATTTACTAATATGTAAAGGATCTACAAAGCGAAAGTATGTCTCGAAGTCCATTAAACAAAAGTGGAATTGCTGAAAAAAAATGACCTAACCATTCCGAAATCTGTTTATCAATTTCACGCAGCTCTGCGGTGGGAGGCAATGAATTGGAAGTTGATCTGTCAGCATTATTCTTATCTTCAGGGCAGATGTTTTCATTTTATTTGGCTTATAATTCCTTACTAAATGTAGTATTTCATCTCGATGTATTCCATCTTTGATATGATTTAAATCAAATTCCTCGTCATCACAGAGGTTATTGAAAACGAAAAAATTTCGATTGACAAATTAGTCGGTATTCTCGACACAGCAATTATAGGACTTGAACAGCGGAACTTTGTAACTGAACAAGAAATTATGTCTGTTTATAGAATTAAAGAGAACGTATTATCACATAAAACAAAGCAACTTAAACAACTTACATTGAAAGAAATGTTTAATAAAGTAAACAAATAAATATTAAGCTTTTTTTTTTTTTTTTTTTTTTTGTAAATTTTGATACCTTTTAGATCATAATTGTTCTTTATTTCATAAATTACAGTTTTATATTTTTAATTAATTTCTGCATGCAATCTTACCAGATTTAAACTGATGATCTATAATCCGTAAAAATTGATAATCCGGAATCGGCAAAGTCCCGATGAGTCCGGATTAACGACTTTTGACTGTATTTTGCTTTCTTAGTTTTTTTTCTTTTTTTTACTCTAAGTTATTCTTATGATCTTAAAATCATAGACAAAATAAAATAGTAAAGAAAAACATTTTGAAAATCAAAGTACTAAGTGAAATGTAAGTACAATATTTCAAAATAAATCTAAAAGGTAATGGCATTCAGTTTGTTACATTTGATTTTAAATTAATTTCGAAAGTTTATAATTTCAGTTTATAAGACCATAATATTTCTGGTAAATAGCATTATAAACAAATACTTACAGGATTAAAAAATATACTGTTGGCACTTGTTACAGTATAAGGATCAAATTTATCAGCACAAACCACCACATCAGGTAACGGATAGAGCCACAGTGAATAATCGTATTCCCAGTATATAGGGGCAACATTTAATGGCAATGGTACAAGGTGACCATTAGCAATAACAGTCTTTACAAACTGGAAAAAAAATGTGATAAAAATTCTTTAGCTTCATACTAAAAGCTTTTTTTTTTTTTTTTTTTTTTTTTTTTTTTGAGTACATTAGCATAAAATAAAACAATTTGGACATATGATAATCCCAATGTAAAGGATTTACTCTTACCAAATTTGGTACATCAACTTTCTCATCCTTTTCCCATGGAGCATAAATACTATTACGACACATTTTTGATATGATATCTTCCCGAAAAACAACAATGTCTTGAGTGCAATACTGAATACGGCAAGGATTTGACGTAAAGATTGCAGATGGAACTTTTTTGCAAAAATCACCAAGAAAAGCAGGTGGAATTGCAGGTCTGAAAAATGCCAATTATACAGATAGAAATCAATGCTTAGAAGTGAAACTTTCTACACAAAACAAGCTATAATTTCAACTATAGAAAAAATTAAAAACTCACTTTGGAACATTTCATGTCTTAGTTTGTAACCTTTTTAACAAAGGAAATAGAAAAACCAAGCTTATTTTTATGAGTAGTTGTCATTCTATTATAAAGCAAATACTACTACTATCCCACACCATTCAGAATTTTTGGTAGCAACTTTGATTTTATGGCCAAATTCTGCATTCTGATCTGTAGGATAAAGTGCACCTATCAAAAGAAATCTGCTCTTAAGTAAAATACTCCTTCTTTCCCTCACATATTTATCAATCTTTAGATTATTTGGTACTTAAATATTATTGCAACCACCTTAGTAGGAACTGCCATTCTGTTACATTTACTGATTTCTTAGAAATTCTTAAAGAGATAAATAATATATTTTTGAATTAATCCATCTTTGATATAATACATAATATAGCTGGAAGAATGTCAGAAATTAGAGAAGCCTCCAATACAGCTGACAATCTATTCGCATTATTTTCTATATTTGAATATCTTTTCGGTCAAAATTTACTTGGAAGCACAAACTAGTGTTGTACATTTCCTCCTTTTACTATTGTTCTCAATTTTTTTGATGGCAAATTTCTGTATATAATATTCTGCTGTGTTCTAGGTATTTTTAATTGCATATTTTAAAATTTTTGTTTGTGGTATACATGACTCATCATGTGATATGGGATTTTTCATGCTTTCTCTATCAATATTATTATACCCATTAACCTTCACATTTTGTAATAACCAGCATAACAGTTTGTTTCTTTCCTATTCTGAAGATCTTTCAAAATTTTGCTCAGTCATATTTTTGTTTGGAAGTTCGAAGTCTCAGATTGTGCCAAACTCTGGCTACCATACACATAACGATACTTCACTTTTAACAAGCCACTTTCATGTGTATTCCAAATTCTAACAGTTTTTATAGACAAATTGTGATATTTTTTGTATTAAACTCAATTTTAAAATATGGACTTGTGGAATTTGCCTGCAAAGAAACTGCAGTAAAATTTCTTCAGAAATACAGTATTTTGCCCCAAAATCACTAAAAAGAAAACTACTTTGAAAATTTCTTCTAAACGATAGAAAAAACAAAACAAAAACACCACAACAAGGGGGGGGTAACCCTGCTTTTAAATGGGTTTATTATATAATTTTTTTAAATAAATACCTAGCTAAAACATAAAATATATACATAATAACATGGATGTATGTAATAAACAATTTTTTACAATCGTAAGTCATCGTCCTTTTCTTATGTAAAATGTGCCCAAATATACCAAGGTGGTTGTGCTAGCATGTAAGTATCGATTATTTTAACTAACCTATAAGTTATTTCTATTTTTAAGAATTTTCAAAAACCTTTTCACTTTTGATTAATTTTATCTTTATTTTCAAAGGCATTAAAGTATTTTGGTTACATGCACATTCCCTCTTTTGATGGCATAAGGACCATTTTTTAAATAAGAATAATTTTTACTGCCTTTCATTTTTAAATTTATTTTCATTATTCCATGAAGAATCATTCAATAAAAGCTATTACTCAAATAATGGAAATAAAATTTGAAAGCATTTTTAAGCATGTTTTTGTCTGTGTTGGAAATTAAAATACTGACTCATATGACAACATATATTTGAAATACACATCCACCAACTTTTCAATGCCCCTATCTGATCAACACAGCATAATTCTAAAAGAGGAGGAATAACATAAATATTACCTTTTACATATGTAGTTATCTACTACAAATATGTGATGACCTGAGATTACATTAAATAAAGAATTTAATGCCCACCAAAGGAAAAAATGCTAGGGAGTTTAAAGGTTGCAACAGTATCTTTTGTATCTGATTCATCTTTTATTAGTAAATAAACAAGTACTAAAGTAAAACTTGAAAATAAAAGATAAAAATTTATGACTTGCATTTAAAATGTCTTTTAAAAATGATAGATGATTTCTGCAGAATTAACAAGCACACTTTCTAAATTGATCATCCACTATTTCAAATGATTTTGGTTTCCTGTGAAAGTGGTCATTGTTAGAGAGCGAGATCCATCGAAAGAATAATGGACCGTAATCAATTATAAAAGTTTATTCAACAATAGAAAGGCACAGGAGTCTTAAAGATCAGAGCTGTACGCTCTTGCTAGCACTGATGGCTATTACAAAAAAATGGTGCAGGAACCTAAAGAAACAACTGCTCTATTCGTGGTCTACAGAGGTTCTGCTGGTTTGGGCGGGGGGGAGTCGCAGCACCCTCTAGTGAGATGAATGTTACAACAATAGGATGGGACGGAACAGTCATCTTAGATGATGTTTCATACTATTATTTATTAATGTTGTCAGAAAAAGCAATTACTTTCCATAATCATATTAGGAAAATGGTCACCGCAATTACATCAGGAAAATGGTCACAATATTACTTAAAAAATATGATTAATTCATCATATCTTTAATTCTGGGTTGTCAGTTAGATCCTATTAGCTTTTTGCATAAATTAAGTTTTTAGAAGTTGAAAGTGCAGAAGAAGCATTCACACATCAGCAGAAGCATCAGAGTTAAAAGCTCAACTATGAACTATGAACAACTATGATGCCCCCACTCTAGTGGCAATTAAATAAATAAATAAATAAATAAATAGAGATTAAATATGCAACCAAGCCTAATATTAAGTTTTATTTAAGAGTAGCAATATGGAACTTGAATTTAAATTATCTCTTTCCTTCATTAATGAAAAGCACTTCATTAATATTAATTTTCTTTCATTTTTAAAAATTAATAAATGTTTTGACACATTTTAAATGATGCATTAGGCATGTGCAAAAAAAGCTTTGTGTTTTTATTCTGGTTACAGATTTGACCTTGCAAACCTTTTGCTTGTGTTTATTAGTCAGCAGCAGGGAGTATGGAATTTTTCCATGCTTTCACAAGTAAAAGACGTTAAGAATACAACATGTTGCTTTTAAACATACAAGTAAGAGAGAAAAAATGATTTAAGACATAAAGAGGTAAACTACACAGAATGATAATAGCATATGCAGCAACCCTGCCATATCAGAAAGCATCATATTAGTTTTGGCTTTTTAGTACTGGATAGAGGTAGCTTTCAGAGAAAACAGATCAATGTCACAAGAATTGAAAGAAAGACTGTTGAAAGACAATTAGATAATCACAGTAGAATTAGTGAAGCAAGTTTGAGATTCTTATATAAGGTATTTCTCCCACCTTCTTAACATTTCTTCTTGGTGTAATGATCAGCATGCTCAGTGCTTATTTCAAGTCCTGGGGAAGGTACTGCTCATTTTTCATCTCTCCTGCTTTGAAATAACCTAAGGTCTCTACAGTGATGCCCAAACTGAAAGGGTGGTGAATGATGATTCTCTACCACCAGGATTTGGCAATTGGGTCCCCTAATCCCCAGTCGCCTTTTAAAAGGGGGCATATATAAGGTATACCTCCCGCCTTCTTAGCATGGCTTCGTAGTGTAGTGGTCAGCACACTCAGCACGTATTCAAGAGGTTCGTGGTTCGAGTCTTGTTGCGCATTTTTCACGTCTTCCTGTTTAAAAAAAATACCTAATGTCTTTACATTTAGAATGGTATTGGAGAAGCAAATTTATGTCTTGTGGTCTGTGGTAAATTAGGAACTTCAGTACCATATGATTTATTGGAAAGAGCAGGGAAAGAGAATTTATTTGATATGCTTTACCCAGCAGAATGCTTTGTTATTTTCACGTAAAAAAATAACCACAGTAAAAAATGAGTTCTGTATAATTTTAGAATGTTCATACATATGACAAATCTACAGGATCCACAGTACAGCAAAGATTACATCTACAGAAGTTTCTATTAAGTGTGTGGCACAATTTCAGACACATTTCTCAGACATTTCTACCATATATCATATGAGGAAGATTACCTATAGCTGAATCATATTTACAAAGCCCAAGGGAAAAGTATCTATCACTAGGAATCCCTAGGAAATATTATTCAGTCATAATAATACAAATCTTCACAGATCTGTTTGGACTCAAGAGAACCTTATAGGAATCTGAATGGGAACTGATCTGCACTATCCACATTCATTCAATACTTCTCGGACAAAATACCATTAGATAATTTTCTTCAGAAAATGGAAGCTGCAGAACATAAAAAAACCTTTGTGGACTTCAGAAATTCTTCTACAAACAAAATGGAGGATTTTTAGTCCAAAGGGGCTTTGTCCCTGAAGGAATATTGTTTTCGTTTTGCAATTTTGTGTTGATTCACAACAACGGCAAATCACTTTTCGAACTGTTGCCACTGTAATGTGTTTTGCCACTGTAATGTTTTCGAACTGTTGCCACTGAACAAGTATTATCGCCCTGTGTTATATTTAAAGAAATTAAATAAAAAATCTGCATAAATGCATGTATATTTCTCACATTGTGATAAAACAATGGTACATAGAGCCATCGAATTTTGAATTACGTAATCCTCTTATGAATATGAAAATGTGGAAGACCAAATTTAAAATTTGGAATTTATTTTATTAAATTGACAGAATTAAATTGACTTTTATTATCTAGCAAGCATCCTACTTATAATTTAAACTGGGCACTATAATTTTAGGTAAACTGGTTGTTTCATCTGCCGATAGATAGGCAAATAAACATTCCGATTAATATTCAATAAAATGTTACATTGTCCAAATGATTAAATAAATCATTTGTCTTCCTATTTTTAGTCCAAAGGGACAATTTGCACTGAAGGACTATTAATTTCATTTCGGCATTTTGCGTTGAAAACTATAAACGGCGAATCAGATTCACATTGTTGCCACCAAATATTAGAGCCCTGTATTATATTTAAAGAAATTAATAATAAAGAATCTGCATAAATGTATGTATGTTTCTCGCATTGTGAAAAAAACAGCGGTACCTAGAGCCATCCAATTTTGAATGGCGTAATCCTCCTACGAATATGGAAATGTGGAAGACCAAATTTGAAATTCGGAATTTATTTTATTATCGATTTCCTATTTTGTAAAACTTTAACGAATTTTTTATTAACAAACTCAAGAATTTCAAAGTGAGCTATGGCAAAGTTGTACAGAAGAAACATTTTTATCTCCGGCGCCTGAGCCTCTGTATCGGAAATTCTAAAGATATGCTCATTTTAAAACTATTTTGCGATATTGCTGTTGAACTGAATTTTATGGTTTAAGTGCGAAGAACATGATATTTCATAAATAAATGTAACACACAAAATTTAAAAAAAAAAAAAAAAAAAAAAAAAAAAAAAATGCCCCTTTGGACGTAATATAAAACATTTCAGTCCCCCCCCCACAGGATTGGATTACTTGGGTTACAGCAAATCACATAAAGTCATCTACCTAAGGGAAGAAATGGCTTTGTGGAGGACCTTTCTAAGAAAAATGACTCTATCCATGTTACACATAGGGGAAGTCATAAAAACTCCCATGCAGCCAATCCATTTGCCATGACCGAAAGCTAAATCAAACCATCAGCATTCAGTGATTTCAACACTCAGTCACTGGTGGGCGAAGTTTTACAGGAAAAGGATTAAAAAGTTACCTGATAAAAAGCAGAATCTTAGAGATAATAATAGAAGGCATATTGTAAACTGAGAGCGAATAAGTGTGTTCTACAGTATAACTTTTCTTTTATTGAAAAATTCAAAAACTTTTACACAATCCCAATAAATCATTTTAAAATATCATACAGCACTTTAAATAGCATAATTACAGTATAATATTACTATGAGCAGAAAATAAATTATTTAAACTTTTTTATAACAATGCTTAATATTTTTAATCATACGTAATTTTTTGTATGCTCATAGTTGAATAAAGGAAAAATTGTATCATAAAACACTTAATTTCAGAAACAATATCAAATCTTGCTGCTGGAGGAATAATGAGAAATATTTTTATTAGAGAAAAAATAATTAAATAGAAAATCCTAATTTTTAAGACTTTCTAAGCTATTAGATTTAGCTCATTTTTCTTTTACTCTAAAAAATAAAGCAAATTAAAGTATTTGATGTAAACTGTGTAATATGGGCAACATCGGTTACTTTTAAAACTTTTTGCATTTAGCTTTCAAAATACTTACCTGGGTAATATATGTGGAAGACCAGGATCATTTGGTCCCGGAACAAAAATAAAGCGAGAATGTTTTAAGAGAGTTGGAAAGTCACTGATCAAGGTGCCAAGTTGTGAAAAACATTCTGTGAGAAATGAAAAGTAGAATTAAGATAACTGAATCAGCATAATCATTTGAATTATTAGATAGCAATAAAATTACAACTTCTAACAAATTCTAACCTTCAAAAACTTTGCTTTCAGAACCAACAATGGGCAGTGACAAAAAGTTACCTATCAAGACAAAACATGTAGGTGGTATTTGAGAATAACCAGCAAATACTACTTGCAGTTTCTGTAAAACCTAAAAAATATTGATCAACTTAAGCATTAATGCTTCTTATATGTATTGAAACTAGACATCAACATTCATAAATAAAGTATGAGAGAAAGATAAATTATCAGATTATATAAAATGTATTTTTAATAAAATTTTCTATGCTATTTAATATTAATTATAACAAAACGGAAAAGCAACATATGTTATATCATTAATATATTTAGTTTTCAAACAGAATGCAAAATAAAGCATAAAATCTATTTTGATAAGCATATTTATTCTGAAAGTAAAATCAACATATATTTCTTTACAAAAATACCATAATAATTTTCATTTTATATATGTTGTTACATATGAAACAACACACAAAATGTGAATTAAATATAACTTTTATAACAAATAAAATTCTTACCTTAAATTTGAGGAACAGAGATCTGGCATGTAATCAGAAATTTTGCCAGATTAGCCATTTATTTAAAAATTAAATTAGCCATTTTTTTTTATTAAGACCAAATTTCAGAAATATGACCTATAGCCTTTAAAAGAATCTGCCTGAATCGGTTAATTCATTTGGCCACCTTACTAGGTCTTTATCATACATTAAAATTTTAGTTACAAAATATTTTTATGTTTGTATTAATAGTCACAAAAAGAAATCAACATCCTATATCCAATTTTGCCTCTAAACTCCAAAGTGTCTGCAAACAATTCATTTTTGTGCAAATAGATCGTGAAATGCGTTTTTCGTCACTTTGTTTTTTATTGCTTAAAAACTTAATTAGTCAAATGCTTCATTAGTAAGTCTTGTAGTCAAAAGGATAGTCTCTCATATATTCTCTTTATTAGTCTGTTCAGCAAGGAGCTGAGAAAAGTTGTATTAAGGATCGTGTATAACATTCTATAAGATATAGAGCACAATGAACTTGAGCTTGTCATTAGACAATGCTAGTGCACTTGCAATATGCATGATAACTTCGGAAACAACTCAACAAGATGGCAGCACCTTTGAGGAACAGGGCATTAAACTAAAGCAGTGAAATGCTGCGAAAGATATGTTTAGCTTAGGAGTGAAAACTATGCATATTTACCATTGAAGAGAATTTAGAACAGTGATAAATATAAGAGTTCTATATATGCATATCATTGGACTAAGAACATCAGTATCACTAGTATACAAGATTTTCCTTACTGAAATTTAGCAGTCATAGAAGGCAAAATTATAACTAGTATGAATGTAATACTGGAAAACTGGAGCACCACAAATAAGAAGGTGGTATTTAGCACTAGACATTAATGTTGAATCTACACATTGCATTATTCATGACAAGCTAAAGTCATACAAAGCATGTGTAAAATGTTAACGCACACATTTGTTACCCGAGATGAAAGAAAGATACGTTGATGCCTCTTAAGAGTGTTTCCACTGGTATGAGGTTGACTGTGAAGCATTTTTACAAAAAAATTATCCTGGAGATTACAGATAGGTAAACTTCTGAATGAAACAAAATTTTGAGTTTTGTCAGCAACAAGCAATTGGTCACACACTTGTCAGAAAAAAAAAAAAAAAAAAATTCCTGCGGTATCTGTATGTTTGCCAAATTTTGGAGTTCATATATTGAATTATATGGGAACTATGCTGAGTAGTGATATTGTAATTATTTCAATGTTTATAAAAAATATTCTGTAAGCAAAGAAAATTATATGTTCCCACCAACTGTAATAATAAAAATTAAAGCAAGAAATAAAATGCAAATGAGAAACATTATAAGATCAAAAACAAGATAAAAACTTCAAGCTGACACACTGAAATTTTAATCATCAGTGGGGCATATCACAACAGAGAAGGAAATCATCACTCAAATTCCTTAAAATAACTCTTCTTGTACCTAGTGTTTAACGGAAACATTCTGTAATAATTCTGCCTTCATTTAAAATCTACTGCTGGAAATAATAGTATGCATAGAAGTGAAATCCTTGAGTATGGTAAAAAAACAATTTACACATTCACAACATGAAAAAAATTCATCACGAAGTATACAAAAAAAAGTTAAGTTAAGAACGTGAAGAAAGCTAGAAAGATCAATTTAGTCCTATTCTTTCTGCTAAATATTGCTTTGGAGACTGAGATACTACATTTGGATATTTACTGCTCTCTTATTAATTTCAGAATAAAATGTCTACTCAATAAGTATCACTAAATAGTTATTTGTTTACTGCTTATGATAAGTCTCTTTTTGGGGGGAAAGAGAAGGGATATAGTTTCATGAGTTTTACACACATTTTTTTAAAAGAAAGTTTCTTAAAGTTTTCCTTGCATATCTGGCCAAAAGGCAAACATATATACTTCATACATTTACAGCTTCAGTTAAAAAAAGGGGGGAAGAAATAAGATGGGTAAATGATAATTAACAGTAGAATTTATCAGTAAAATGTTCCAAAGAGGATAAATGAATACAAAAAATTGTAGCTGAACATATCTGATTACCAACTAAGACCTAAAAGAGTTTTCCACTTAAGTTTAACATAAGTGGGGGGTAGGGGGAAGGGAAAGAAAGAAAAAATATTTAAAATATATAATACAGTCAAAAGTCGTTAATTCGGACACCCATAATCCGGAATGATCTATAATCCGGACCTCAAAGCTACAAACTTTCTGCGCATGCGTCGCGTTGATGCATGCACATAGGTGTCTATGCATGCACGTAAGACCTTCACGACTGCACATATGCATGTGCGCATGCACATAATATGTTTACGCATGCACGTTTAATGTATAATGGACGGTATAAGTTAAAATTATCTAATTATCCATTTCAGTTAATGTTGCAGATTGCGTTGTTCCTTAATCTTCGAATTGGATCCGGCTTATTATTTTTTGCAGACTGTTAGAGCAATTTTATAAAAGTAAACTTGAACTTTCGATTATGTCAAATAGAATTTCCGATGCTGGAGCTCCCAAAGGATCTACAAAGCGAAAGTATGTTTCGATGTCCATCAAACAAAAAGTGGAATTGCTGCAAAAAATGGATAAAGGCATATCCTTTGTTTCTCTAACCATTCTGAAATCTGTTTATCAATTTCACGCTGCTCTGCGGCAGCGGGGGGGGGGGGGGGGCGGGGGGGGGGGGGGAACATCACAGCGCAATGAACTGGAAGTTGATCTGTCAGTACTATCCTTATCTTCAGGGCAGATGTTTTTATTTTATTCAGCTTATAATTCCTTACTAAATGTAATATTTCATCTCGATGTACTCCGTCTTTGATATGATTTAAATCAAATTCCTCGTCATTATAAATATCACGAGTACACATCAAATAGTTTTCTGGTTGCAATTTTCTAATTTCGACTATGCGTAATGTATGCTTTACGCATGCGCGCGCTGAAAGAAATAATAAAGTAAACAAATAAATATTAAGCTTTTTTTTTGTAAATTTTGATACCCTTTAGATCATAATGGCTCTTTATTTCAGAAATAACGGTTTCATATTTTTAATTTTATAATTTCTGCATGCCATCTTAACAGATTTAAACTGATGATCTATAATCCGGAAAAATCGATAATCCGGAATCGCCAAAGTCCCGACGAGTCCGGATTAAAACTTTTGACTGTATTCAGAAGACTAAAAAGAAATTGCAATCTGAGCTTGATATATGGGATTCAATTTAAAATAATAATAATAAAAAATTTGATGTGTACATCACATGACTTCCTTGTATGGAATATTAAACTATATGCATTTTTTCTTGCATTTCATTAAAACTTACTGCATTGAATTAAATCTACTCAAGTCGTAGACAGACTGGAATTGAAAGACAATACAGTGTATTTTTGGACTGATTCAACTGTTGCTTTAACTTGGATCAAAAGAGAGGATTCTTGGAATACGTTTGTAGGAAACAGAGTCACAGAAATAAGCTTTATCGTTTCTGTAAGAATAACTGCTTTGTAAATATCTGCAATTAAAGTGTTTTTTCATATTAAATCGATAGTTATTTCTGAATCCTTTAAAATCTACTTCGTCATTTGAAGAATTATCTAATTGTTGCCACATGTTCAATTCAAATACTATAATAAATCTAAAACAATGTATAAAAGAAAGTAAGCAAACAAAACAAAAAAGAAACAGTTTTTCACATGTGATTCAGTATTTCTCATTCAATAATTCAGTTCTCACTTCGTGACAAGGCAAAAATACATAAAAACTCAGAATATCTATATTGAAAATTACAAAGTAAATCTTAAACACTTATTTCCTCGAAAAAATTCCAGAAGGGATTAAGAATGATTTAATTCACAATAATAAATGAAGGGCGTTATCTTTGTTGTTGCTAAGCTTAGTCTCTCTATATTGGCAACAAATCCACTATTCTGCTGTTTCAAATGTAAACAAACATATTCGCCATGTTATTTAAAAATTAGGCTTAATGGCTTTTAAATTGTTGATAAATCGACAAATATTGTTTTCAGATTATCTAAAGGCATAAAAACCTTAACCGGAAGATAAGAAGAACATAATTCAATCATTTTTAAAGCAAAAAATGCACAATTTACAAACATATAAGAGTAAAGAAACTGAGATCACTGAGCCAGGTAACAGAGTGGATATATGTATATAAATATATTTATATACGTTTGGTGTGGCCGGTTGCAACCAAAATATGAGGCGTACATCTACATATTACAGCAGTCCTACATACAAAATTTCAACATTCTCAGGCTACTTGTTTTTTAATTATGCAAGATACATACGTACGAACGTACAGACACCATGAAAACTTCTCTTCAGAATTCATTTTAAAGCAGTTTTGAGTCTTATTCTGTCCTTACGTATAGATGACACACAAAAACATCGTGAAATTGCATTCGATAGCGGTCAAAATGGATATTTTCGTTGAAATATGCTGCCTGAAACTTTTCGCGATTACAATAGTTCCTTTTTACTTCATACAAGGAAGTAAAAAAGCTAAGTAGTTATAATAGGTCTGCTATTTTATAAGAATGAAGTTCTCCAGAAACTGAAGATACAGAAGGTAAATTTTTATATTTAAAATAAATTGCTCGAAACAAGAAAGCCAATTTGTAGTAGGAAAAAAATCAGCTATGTTATTATTTTGTATCAATTTTAATCCCACATGGAGATTTGTGCTTTTATTCAAGTTTAAAAAAAAATAAGAAAAAGACAAAGACTTAATTATTCAAATTTAGCTGTGCATTTATTTAACTGGTTCACTTGCATGGCAGACTTGGAAACAATATTTTACCAAGTGGTAATGCTTTCTATTTTGCCAGGGATATGATATTAGTAAACTGAAAACACTACACACACAATATTAGATGAAGCCCATATATATATATGAGCTGAAGTTGAAGACAGAAAAAGTCTATGGCAAAATGGTTACAGTGATTCAAGATGGTTGAAGTAACTTCCATTGTTACTAATGTTATTCTTGCTAGCACATAATGTACATAGATTCTTGAATTCTATAAATACAAAGTCCATGAAAAAGTCTGCAACTAACCGTGCATAAATAGCTAAGACAGTAATAACAATTATATAAAACTAATTCTATAGGAAAGGAATAAAGCAAAAATGAAACTTTTTATGACAAATAATGAAAGTAATATATGAGAATATATTTACTTTCATTATTTGTAGAATAATAACTCGTAGAATAATGGAGAAATATTTATGAAGAAAGTTGTTTGGATTTTATGACTTATGAATGTTTTACGTTTTATCTTCATTTGCTATGAAGTAAGTAGCATGCTGCTTCATAACAGTTCAGGAATATTTCAGCTACAGAGACACTATCAGTAAGAAATCATCAAAAATAAGATACTTGGCTGAAAAGAATACACACGCACTGTGAAGCAACAAATACTATGTAAAAAGTGGAATAATTTGATAGATAGTTTAGGATCATTCATTTAAAAAAAATATAAAAAAAAATTAACCATATAAATACATGGAAATCCTGATGATACTGACGATAAAAAACCAATTAAAGCGATAAATACTAAGAAAGAAAGAAAATGCTTATTGCAAGGGTTAAAACTTATTATTATTTCACTGCATGTGATTTACACACTTACAGGCTGATACTAACAGCTGATGATAATTTTAAGAAAACTTCTTAACAATATAAGGTTTAAATAAATAAGGTTAATAATTAGTACATAACATTAAGCTATTACAAAATAACTTAGTGTTATGTACTAATTTATAAGTTTCATGCAAATTACCATGAGATTTAAATTATCAAATGAGTGGAAGGAAAGTGTTCAGACATTACTTTTTGATATATAAACCAATATTTTGAGCCTTTTAACATAGCTCTTCCTAGAAAATAGTTCATTTTCATGACCCATATTTCTCCCATGAAGTTTTACAAAATGTTTCAGATTTTACATGATGATCTAATATAAAAATAATGTAAATAGAGAAAGATAACTTAATTGGCTAATGTCGAAATTCCTCACATGTATTGGGTTTCAACGAATACTCTCTAACTTATCATTACACATATAAAATTACAAATTTCTTGAGAATATTTTAATAATAAAATTTGTCATCTGCTAAAAACTATTTTGTAAAAATGGTAGCACAATTTGAGAGGTGAATCTGCAGTTATGTGACCTTTGCATAAATATTGTAAAAGAACATATCCATCTTTTAAAACACATTTCTATCAACTATTTACTGCACAACAATAAATGTCTAGTTATTATATGCACTGTTATGTTCATTTAGTGTTATATAACCAGTGGTTTTAGCCACTTCAGCAGTAACATGCGACCCCTGCTAGTAACTAAAACGTTTCTACTCAGATATTTTTATAGATTCTGTAACTTTCCAGTTATATATTTACCTTCTGAAGATTAATAATACCTATAAGCTCCATTTTTACGAAAGTAATCAACATTAACAATGCATAAAAAATGCATTATATAAAGGTTAATAAATAAGCTAATGCAGCTAAATTAATACAAAATATTGATACTTTGTATATAATTATTTAAAATATATACCTTCAGCTGATCCAACCAAACATCAGACATGAACACAAACATAGCATCTGTATTCCTCTCTTCAACTATCTTCAGTTTCGCTGATAAACGATGTGAATTAATAGATGAATATGGAGTTAGACAAAAATTGGGGAAATATGAACTGTAAAGAACATACATAATTATAAAGATTTAATAAATAAACAAATAAGATGCACAATAAAACAAATAAAAATTTTAAATAATATACATATATGAAAATAACATGATATTCAAACTAAACCAAGTTGTGGCCTATTTTTCGTTACATTGAATAAATTTATATAATATTTGTTTTAATCTAAAATTTAGCTTTTCTTTTTATTAATGTAGTTTTTCTATTTGACATCAAAAGTAACTAGTGATACATAGTCTGATAAATGACTATTTATTCATATAGAGGTAAAATTGCAATGCATTCCAAATTAGCAAAAACTGCTATTATATAATATCTATAAAATATTATCTATATTTAATATTTTCTGAGGTTGCCGGATTTGTCAAATATGGTGAGAGCGGTAGCATATTCGAGCCACAAAGCTTCTGACAAATTTCCAAAACTTTGGGAAACCTGGCATTATTATAGTGAAATACTATACCTTTTCTGGTCTTTTTGCTTGATGGCATCACTTATTTTATACAATTGATAGTAGTACACTTTTAAATAACATGTAGAATTGCCCAGTAGAAGCTTAAAAACATTCTCCTAAAATCTTACCAAACAGTGAACAGTACTTTATTTTGTTATGAATATCTGGTTTCACAGTGCTTTACTCCACAATCACTTGCATTCAATGTTGTTAAAACAATCAATTTCCCATCATTTTTTATGATTTACTTTAAAATTGGATTGATATCTCAAGATATGTTAAGCACATTACTTTTTAAAAAATATGTGGAACAAATGTATTGAGATTCAAAACAAAATTAAATCATTCCATGTGATCCTAAATGGTTAAAGACAACAAATTTAATCTCTCAGCGATATTTTGAGTTCTTATTCGGTGGTTTTCTTCAGTCAATATCTTTATTTTGTGTTAATCAGCTTCAACTGGCCTTCCAGAATCTGATACACCTTCAGAAATGAAATTGCAAGAATGAAATTTGGAAAACCAGTCTTGGCACTGATATTCTGTCATCATACTTCTCCATACACATTACAATTTTTTTCTTACTTCAACAATTCTTACCCATTTTATTTGGTAATAAAAAAGACAAATGTGCTGAAAATGCTGTTTTTGATTTTCCATATACTTGATGAGACATAAAAAAAAAAATATAGAGAATAAAGCAAATATTTTTATAAATAAGCCTTGAAATGCCATCTGTCAAAATATATAAGATGTTCCAAAAGGTCATTTACAAATTTCACATACTGGTCTGTTAAACCATGACAAACAAGTCTTAACAGGAAGTTGAATTCAAAAATCAAACCATGCAGTGCTACAGCAACATGATTGATGTGTAAAGAAAGGGAGTGACGTGACTTTATTTAAAAAAAAAAAAAAAAAAAAAAAAAAACTTAACTATGCAGATGAAGGAAATAATCATGGTTACAAAAAATTTTCAAAATTTCTTTCATACACCACAATGCAAGGATTCAGAGACTCGTTTGAATTGGCCAGGTGTGTCAAGAACACATACTGCCATTTACGAGATTACGGCAATGAGTTTGATGTCATATGTTTCATATATCAGGAAGTTCATGTATCCCCACAAGAGAAGATCTAGCACGGCGAGATCAGGAATTTGGCAAAGGCCTCTTAATTTCCCATAGCACAGCTTCCTGTACAGCAGGTGTGCATGTAAGATATTGCCAACTGATATGGCTGCTCTCTCGGAAAGTTCCAGCCTCGCTTAATCTGCAGAGTAATTGTCCAGATAATGGATGACTTGGCAATACATGCATCTTGTGACTAGTCCATTTCTATCCACAGCCCCATAAACATAACGCACATCAGCAAATTCCTCACTGTCAAACTGAAGCATCCTTCTCCTGCAAAATCCTCACATAAACTAATCCCACTCTGCTCACCAATACACAGTGAATATCGCATTCTAGCATAGCCGGTTACAGTTTTGGACAAAATTTCCTATGTAAAACTTCTACATCACAGCCTGACAGGTCAACTTATAAAATTTGTAAACGACATTTTGAGACACCCTGTATAGTAACAATGTGGTTTAGAACGAAGATGGCTGTTTAAAAATATAACAAATTCCCTGGTGGTAAAATAAATAAAAATTATATTGCCCCCAAAGAAGCATTTTTTAAACGTATTGTGTTTTGTGTTTTAAACGTTTGTTACCTTTATTTATTAAATATCAAGTTCTTTTTCCTTAAACCTAACATTCAGTTCAACAACAATACCATGAAACAATTTAAAAAGAACATACCTTTAGAATTTCCGATACACAGTCTCCCGTGCTGGAGACGAAAATGTTTTTTTCTTCCGTAGAGTGTTACCATTACTTGATTTCAAACAATTGAGTTTGTTAATCAAAAATCTGTTAAGTTTTACAAAATATGAAACAGATAATAAAATAAATTCCAAATTTGGACTTCCAGATGCCCATACTTGAGTGGAGGACTACGTCATTTAAAATTTGATGTCTCTAGGTACCGTAGTTTTTTCACAATGTGAAAAACATACATACATTCATGCACATTCTTCATTATTTAATTTGTTTAAATATGATGCAGGCTCTAATATTTGGTGGCAACAATCTGAAAAGTGAAACACCATTTATAGTGAACCAACGCAAAATGCCAAAACAGAATTAACAGCCCTTCTGGGCAAATTGCCTCTTTGGGCTAATTTCTGAAAAATTAAATATAAAAGTTTAACTCAGGATTTCGGAACATGGTCCATATTGACTACAAGGCGTTGAAATTATAAAGGAGACCAAAGATGATCAAAGGGTCAGTAGCGAAATACACACCAGCAATTGATTAGCATGACCAATATCTCCTCGACTACAAAAAAAAAAAAAAAAAAAAAAAAACTGAAAGATTTCAGATTTTAAATTACGTCCAAAGGTTTTTTTTTTTTTTTTTTTTTTGTATGTTACTTTATTTATTAAATATCAAGTTCTTTGCTGTTGAATTGATCAGCATTAAATGAACTAGAAGTCTCAGTCTTCAGAGAGCCTAACATCAGAGTTATTTCAAAATGTACTTCTAAGCGATAAAAAGGAGAATGTTGCCAAAAATCTTGTTCAAGAATTTCAAGATGTTTTCCTTGGCTCATCTTATGACTTAGGTCAAACGAGTTTGGCTCTATTGAGTCCTTCAGCAAGTTCTTGGTCTTCTCCTATCATCCTTATCACAAAGAAAGATGGTTCAACTAGATTTTGCATTAATTATCGCCAGTTCAACTAGGTTACGACTTTGGCAGTTCATAGCGGTGCTGTTTGAATTATGTAATGCGCCGGCAATGTTCGAATGCCTTACAGAGGACCACGCTGAGAGGTCTTGAAATCCGAAATATTTAGATGACATTATCATCATCATGAAAACTTTTTTGAAGAGCATTCAGGAAATCTTAGAAAGTTTTCAGTTTTGAAAGGTGCTTCAAAACTGAAAGAAGACAATCTAAAGTCCCACCAAATGTAAACTATGCAGAGAGGAAGAGACTTACCTCAAACATGTCATCTCAGCAGAGACAGGAAATGACCTAACTCGGACATGGCATTCTCTGCCGAAGTTGTGTGTACATATACAGAAAAAGTATCGGCAGTTAAAGAATGGAGATGCCCCCCCCCAAAAAAATGGCTATCAGCTGAGAAGTTTCCTGTGGCTTTGCACCTGCTATAGGAGATTTGTGAAGGACTTTTCTTCCATCAAAAGACACCTTCACAAGCTGGCAAAGAGCAACAGACAAAAGAATGTGAGGATGCATTTAACAAACAGAAGAAAACTTTAACATCTGTGACAATCTTGATGTATCCTCAGCTCGACTCAGCTTGACACAGGTTTGAGCAATGAGAGTGTCAGTGCTGTTTTGTTCCATGAAATAAAGTCAAGAACAATTTGTAGCATACCGATTAAAGCCATAGAACATTTCCACCATTACCTGTACAGCAGAAAATGCTTGCTCCACACAGATCATGCATTGTTGACAAATTTCAAGAATCCCAAAATCCAGATGGATACACAGACTCCAGGAATATGACATAACAAACCGTCACAGGAAGGGATCATCACATGGAAACGTCGGTGCCCTGTCTAAAGGACCCTGTCCAGAAAGCTGACGATACTGTTGCAAGTTGAAGCGAAATATGAGCTGCTTAATCTGGTTGTATGTTAAATTACACATTCAACATTGTCTGACTCAGACCCAGGGACTGAAGAAGAAGTCAGGAAAGACCAGCTGAAAGACGGCGACATTAAACTCATAACTGACTTAATGGAATATTTAAATATGAAACCTAACTGGCAGGACCTTTTCTATCTAGAGTCCTAAGACAAAACAATATTGTGCTCTCTGGGACTCACTCCATATTTGACATGGTGTCTTGCACCAGAATTTTGAATCAGATGATGGAAAGACGCCCTTAAATAACAACATAGCAGTTCAACAGGAGGCCACTTTGGAATGATGAAAACTGTGCATGGATTTCAAGAGCACTTCTATTGGAGAAATGCAAGACATGATGTGTAAAAGGGGAGCTAGTCATGCAATGCTGGTACAAGTCTGGGACCTCTGCTACCAACTGGTGAAGGCAACAAATACATCCTCGTTGCCATTGATTACTAAGTAATGATACAACATTGGATTTGGTTTGTATTGCCTCTTCAGTTACATTCCTGTCAAGGAAGGAATTTCATCTCGGCTATAATCAAAGAGTGCTGCAAGCTACTTGGCATCAACAAAAACCAACAAAACCTTTACATCCGCAGTCAGACTGCATGGTAGAGAGGTTTAATTGAACCAGCCTCAACAATCTCTTGCTGCTGGTTTCCAGAAACCAAACGGACGGGACAAGAAGTTACCACTGATCTTACTGGACTCTGACCTATCACAGTGCTGTCCACAAGACTATTGGCTATTCCCCATCCCAGATGCTCTTCGCAACCTTTGTCTGCCTTGTGATCTTTTATTTGGTCACTTTTTGGATGTGCCTTTATCCCCTGAGGGATATATTCAAAATCTCCAGGCATGGTTTGAAGTGATGCACAATTTAACTTGAGAGCGAGTTACTTGATAAGATAAAGATTCGATACAACATGAGAGCTACAAAACATCAATTCAACTGAGGTGACAAAGTATGGTTATGGAATCCGATTTGACAGAAAGGACTTTCTCCCAAATTACAGTTACTCTGAGATGGTCCTTAAACAGTCCTAAACATTGCTTAATACCGTCATAGTTCGGGTACGTAAGTCATCAAATTTTAAGCCTTAAGTTGTTCATTACAACAGGCTAGCCCCTTACTATGGCCATAATGCACAGTTCCCATAGTGCATATAATGTAAATGGTATACTAAGACCATGGTCCTGTTTGTATATAAATTTGTAAGACGTGCAATCCTTGGAAAAGGGGCAGTGTTAAAGTGCAAATTGTTTAATTATGTAAATAACTTTAGTGAAATTATGGATGAAATTGTAGTATTTTTTGTATAATGTAACATAACACTCCGAAGAAGCGAAGCTTTGCAGGAAAAGTAAGAATACACGGGAAAGTTTATTTAAAATTTAGTAAATGGCTATTTCGCTAAATTAGAGAGATATCGCCAAACTGGTGATGGTTTTTGACAACTAATTTTTGTCACCAAATTGGGAGAGAAATCGCCAAACGTCGGCAAACTTGGCGAACATTTGGCAACATTTTGGTCTGGTCCCTGTATAGGTACAATAAATGAATAATAGTAATTGGTGCTATATGTAACTGCAACTGAATCTGACCCTCATATGCCTTCCAGTAATTTTCAGAAGGTACTACTGCTGGGTGAAAACTAAATAAGACTGGGGAGAGCATGAGTTTTTCAGTAGTTGTTAGTTCAAAGCTAAATTTAGAGTATTAAAATATCTGTAAGAGCTTCGCCTTTTATATGTTCTTTGCATTGTGTTATGTTTAATGGTCTTAGTTTGAAGTGTAACTATTAATTGTACAACAGCTATATGACTGTTTTTGTGGAAAGTTCCAGAACTGTGACGTGTTTCTTTTCATAAAACAATTTTATCAAGCTATCATCGATTTTGTTCACATTCAATCTATTACAAACCCTTACCCACACAACAATATGAATCCAGACCCACCTTTATAAATTCTGTCACTTCAGCAATACAGTTCAATGCAATATAGATGAAATGGTTGGAACTACTAAACAACAACTGATTTCTGAGTCAAAATTTGATAACTTTCCTATACAACTGGATGAATCGACTTTTGAAAGGATGGACATGATCTATGTGCATTATTACAGTGATGTTAAAGAAAATATAATGTAAAAGTTTTTTCCCCCACGCAAAGCTTTCTCAAAATATGTATAAGAGATGAAGACACATTTAATTTTTTTAAAACATTTTCCAGCAGTATGATATTTCCCTTATCCAACATTAAGACAGCTTCCTGTAAAGGTGCACCAGTGATGGGTGGAAATTTGGTTGGCTGTTTAACATACCCAAAATATTAAGATACTTAACATTTGGACTCTTCATTGCTTTTTGCATAAGCAACATTTAGTTGTGAAAAATATTCAGAAAGAGCTTCATATTGCTTGAAAGCCAAGCATCAAAGCAATAAATAATATGAAAGCTACGAATGACTGTCTTTTGGGGCAAGTATCAACATAATGATGAAAGTTAAAACAGTTTGGCTTTTCACAAAGAAATACTCTCCAAAGATAACTAATTGCAATGTTCAGTAGACATTTTTAATACTGCGATAAAATCTTTTCTTGAAATTGACAATTCTATGACAACACAATTAATAAAATTGAACGTGCATATGTTGACATTGAATTGAAAAAAAATTCTGTTATTTTGATAATTTAATGCTACTGTTCATTACTGAAAACATTATATTTCCTCAGAAGATATATTGTTACATACAAGCCATTTGCAAAATTTAAAAGCTTTTAATCTTCATTTCCAAGATACTGAAAATTTTAATGTGCCAGCATGGCTCATAGAACCACTGAATTGTGATATATCTCGATACTATGTCACAAGAAAAACTTACTGCATTGAAGGAGGATTTTCTTATCTTATTCAAAATACATTGGTATGACAAGTTTTGGAATTTAAAAGTTATCCAAGAGAAATATTCCAAAATAAAAGTTGCTGCTGAATGAATACTATAAACTTTTCCTTCCAAGTAGAAGTCAACAATTTACTATGGAAAACAAGAAACAGAGTTACATATTTTTGAGAATGAGTTGATTTATAAATTAAGAAGTTTTTATGCCAAATATAAAAAATTGCATTATCCCACAGACATCACATTTATTAGAATCGTACTTTTATGCAATTAAAATCTGATTTTGTTTTTAAAATTTGTTTGTATTTTTAAGATTAAACAATAATGATACAAAAATTATGCACTATAAATTAAATAAAATATTTTTCCGAAACTTTTGTTCATATTCTTAATCTAATTATAATCTTCATTCTACTTATTTTCAATTATTTGCATTATGATTAAGCTGTTTGCTGTTATGTTATTGAGAAAAATGTAAGCGAGTTAATGAAAAAATCATCACATTAATTTTTTTTAAAGAGGTCAGTGCAAGAAAAGGATTGGGAATCACTGGTTTAACTATACATAAAATTAAAATACTACATTGTGGTTTAAACACATGTTTTTTAAAAAAACTAATGAAGAGCAATTTATAAGTGAAGTCTACATTCATATTTGACAGAAAGAGTAACTGAAGGAGTATAGCTTACAGTGTTGTTTCAGCAGGCTCAGGTGGACAAAATCCAATAGCTGTTGCATGAAATATTTTATCTTCATAAACACCTTCAACTAAAACAATATTATTTTCTGTAAAGAGACCACCTTTATAGACCTGGCAAGAGTTAAGTTTATATATTCAAAAACGTTGAGACTATTCTAGATATCTCATTTATTCTGCACTTTCACTCCATTGTAACAACCAAATATCAGTGAATTATTCCTTGATAAAGCTGATGTATCGTATTAACTTTTATGAAATTCACTCCAGTTATAGTATAATGAAAAAGCATTCTAATAAATAAATTTTACAAAATAGAGAAAGCAATGAGAAATTTTTAGATTTCTTGAATTTATGCTATATTTTTACTACACTATGATGAATACTGTTAATAGTGCCAATATTTTGTCATCTAATACAACTGGTATATTCCAGTAATTAAAAAATTAATTTCAATTATAACATGATGAAAAATATTCCAACAAATTTTGCAAAGGAAAAAATAATAACACTAAGAATTTTTTGTGGAACTTTAAAGCATATACAGTCAAAAGTCGTTAATTCGGACACCCATAATCCAGACCTCAAAGTTACAAATTTTCTGCTCATGCGTTGCGTTGACACCTTCATGGCTGCGCATATGCATGTGCGCATAATACGTTTGCGCATGCGCGTTTAACGTATAACGGACGGTATAAGCTAAAATTATCTAATTATCTATTTCAGTAAATGTTGCAGATTGCGTTGTTCCTTAATCTTCGAATTGGATCCGGCTTATTATTTTTTGCAGACTGTTAGAGCAATTTTATAAAAGTAAGCTTGAACTTAGAATTTCCGATGCTGGAGCTCCCAAAGGATCTACAAAGCGAAAGTATGTTTCGATGTCCATCAAACAAAAAGTGGAATTGCTGCAAAAAATGGATAAAGGCATATCCTTTGTTTCTCTAACCATTCCGAAATCTGTTTATCAATTTCACGCTGCTTGCGGCGGGGTAGCCACGCGCGCAATGAATTGGAGGTTGATCTGTCAGCACTATCCTTATCTTAAGGCCAGATGTTTTTATTTTATTTGGCTTATTCCTTACTATATGTAGTATTTCATATCGACGTATTCCATCTTTGATATGATTTAAATCAAATTCCTCGTCAATATAATTTGCTTCCGATAGTGAAGAAAGTGACACAGAGATTATTGAAAAAAAAAATTTCGATTGACAAATTAGTCGGTATTCTCGACACAATTATAGGACTTGAACAGCGGAACTTTGTAACTGAACAAGAAATTATGTCTGTTTATAAAATTAAAGAGAAAATATTACAACATAAAACGAAGCAACTTAAACAACTTACATTGAAAGAAATGTTTAATAAAGTAAACAAATAAATAAAGCTTTTTTTTTTTTTTTTTTTTTTTTTTTTTTTTTTTTTTTTTTGTAAATTTTGATACCCTTTAGATCATAATTGTTCTTTATTTCGTAAATTACGGTTTCACATTTTTACTTTTATAATTTCTGCATGCCATTTTACCAGATTTAAACTGATGATCTGTAATCCGTAAAAATCGATAATCCGGAATCGCTGATGTCCCGACGAGTCCGGTTTAATGACTTTTGACTGTATATATTTAGACTGAAAATAACATTCTGCTAAAATTATGTTAATTTAAAACATTAAAAATTGTCTGGGGTTTAATAATACCATTTGATATTCTTCTGTTATCGAGACCAGATTCAGAAATGTATGCATACACATGCGTATGTACACTGCTCAAAAAAAAAAAAAATGGGACAGTCCTATATCTCCCGATCTACTGGGCCGATTGACAAAATTCAAATTGCATTCTTCATGTCTCGAAAGCGCGACTTAGGATATATATTAGATTTATATATAGCACTATGCTAACATAGATATTTTGACACAAAATCGGACTTTTTCTAAAATAACATACCAATTTTTTTACATATTTTGATTCTACGACTCAAATTACACCTAAGTATGAAATTTTGTAAAATTTGGAGCGAAATTTACGGAGAAATTCACAAATTTATGTTGGCACTTTTTTGGCGAACTTGGCGAACTTTTTAATATATGGCAAACTAGTTTCCTTTCCCGTGAGAGGAAAAAAAGTCACCATCGTTCCTTTTTTCCAAATAATATTCTTTATATTATATTTTTAATTATAACTTATTATTTTAAGTAATTTTTTTTTTTTTTTTTCGAATTTCATTTTAATTGTTTAAGTTGCACTTTTTTGTTTTTTTTTTTTTTTCGAATACCTGTTTTAAAAAAATTTCTATTTACCTATTCGAACTGCGTAAATAAAGGTGCAGCGTTAATTTTTTTTTCAAATAGTTTTTCTTTATATACATATTTTTCATCATAGTTATTATTTTAGGTCATTTTTTAAATTTTTATACTTTTATTTTAATTGTTTGTGTTGCATTGTCTCTTCAGATAATTGTTTTAAAAATTTTCTATTTATTCCTTCGAACTGAGCATTTTTAAATATATTTATTAATATCAATTTTCCAGAATTTGATTTTATTTATTTGAACTGCGTTTCTTTCGGAAGAATACTTTGTAACCCAGACTACGATGAGTTTGAAAACTGCATATTTTATTAAAAGAGAAAATACAGTAAAGCACAGTTTTACACGCCTTTCAATGTTCCGTTCAGAAAAGATATATATAAATAAGAGAGATGTATAACCGACATTTTAACTTAGGATGACTTGCATACACTGCTTTAAACAGTTTTATCATAGTGCCCATTGTTTTACATAATTTTATCCTACATTTGGTTTCTTAAAATGTTATTCATATTTTAGTCAAATATTTTATTTTTGAAATTGCAAGAATCAAATATCATAACATTGAAAAGTTTTAAATTAAAAAAAAAAAAATACAAATACTAAATTTTATAAATTTTACGAAAAAATTTATTTTTCTTCAAGCATTCTGAAAGTATATTAAAAAGTATCCAACTTTTCGAAACATTTTGGTATTTCTGACAATCATTTTAAATAAAGTTATCGCCTTCCATTTCATAAAGGCCCACAAACGGCCGAGCGGTAAAGACGCTGATCACTGGTAGTTCGGTCCGAGGTTCGAATCCCGCGAACGGGCTGTTTGCATGGGAGTTTTCGTGGTTTTTCCCGATGAGTAACGTGTATACGATCCAGTTTCCCTTAGAAAGTCCTCCACAAAGGCATCCCTCCCTTTAGGCAGATAGCCCTCGTGTGCTTTGCCATAATTAAATAATCCAATCCAATCATTAATTAAATATAATTGATTTGTAACTTCTACTAGAATGACGTTAAAGAACTGAAGTGCAAATAAATAATATCGTGTGCAATCTTGATTAATATAAAATTAAAAATATTTGCATTCAGACAGAAAGTTTTTTGAAATATTTGCAATTACTTTATAAGAAAGATCTATTAATAACCGTAATAATTACTTATTATATTACTGATGATTAGGAATCAGTTCTTGACAATTACATTCTAAATTAGAATTTTAAGAATTATTAGAATTTTAAATTAGAATAATGAAAATACGCTATGCACAAAAATACATTTTTGGATAAAAAATGAGTTGTTTTTTTATGTTTTAAAACTTCTTGAATTCATTTAATAAACATCGTATCCTCATTGTTAATTGAATTCAGAATGTTGGGTGTCGTTTATATAATTATTCTTACTTGTCCACGGAATCTGCTGACTTATCCAGCGATTAAGTAGCTGCAGATCATTTCTACATAACCATTGAACTTCCATTAATTCAGTCTCTAGAGGGTTGTATATTTATATCATAATTTTGACTTTTATAAAAATGATTATTCTAAATCTTATGTCTCTATAAAAATATACTGTGCTTTAAAAATATGGATGATAGTACCAGCCGCTCTTTCAGCCACTTAAAAAGCATCAGTTTGTTTAGAAATAAATTGTGCAGTTAATGTTATAAAATTCAAATAAACATCAAACGAAAATTCTCAGTTTTAGACAATTCGATTTAAACGAAGTAAAGTAGCAGACGATAAAACGCCGAAGGTAAAAATTTACTCTTACAAAGATTTAATCTTATTTAAAAAAAAAAAAAAAAAAAAGATAGAGACAAATTAAAAAATATTAAAAAATTTATTTAAAAAAATAGCTTTTCATATAGTATTAATAAATATTTATTACGCATCATTGAGGGAAAAAATGTCATATAATTAACTCTCCGTAAAATTTTACTTGAAATTTAAGGTTAAAAATAGCTGTGGCAATACAGTGTAACAAAAATCCATAGACCACATTTGGCGTTACTATTGCTCAAAAAAAAGATGCCAAATTTCAAAAAACGCGAAAATATGTAAATTTGTGTATATCTTAGAAAATTTTGAATAAAAAAGTCTAATTTTTTGCAGATATGCTTAAAATATACTTACTTTAAGATGATGGTAAAAAATTTTATAGGTTATAATTCAAAATTTTTTTCGAAAAATTTATAAAAATTATTTAAAAATAGAAATTTAAAAAATAAAACACAAAAAAATGGGTAAATTTTATTTGGAATGAACCTAAATTTCGAAATGTGAGAGAAAAAATCGAAAAAGTTTAATAAAAAAGAGATATAAATAAATATTTGCCAAATTCGATTAACATTGAGGAGCTAAAATTTTGAGAGGTAATATTTCAAAAACTACTCGTACGATTTTTACAAAACTTGGTATTTTGGCATAATTTGAGTCGTAGAATCGAAATATGTAAAAAAATTGGTATGTTATTTCAGAAAAAGTCCGATTTTGTGTCAAAATACCTATGTTAGAATAGTGCTATATATAAATCTAATATATATCCTAGGTCGCGCTTTCGAGACATGAAGAACGCAATTTGAATTTCGTGAATCGCCCCAGTAGAACGGGAGATATAGCACTGTCCCATTTTTTTTTTTTGAGCAGTGTACGTGTATATACATATGTTCATATGTACATGCATATAAGAGCTAGCACATCCATCAATCCATCCATGCATACATTTCTGAATCCAGGCAGTACATTTTAACAGATATTTTTTTTTTTTAGCAAACTAAGATACAATGGTACAGACTTATTAAAGGATACTGCTTTCTTCAAATTTAATCGAACTGCTCCTGTTGGATCTTCAAGAAAAAACTGACCCTATAAAATTCAAGAGATCAGAGTCATGCACGTAAGATCTGATAATTAAAATAATGAAATTATATAAAAAGTACCAACCTCCTTTAACTGTGTTAACATTCCTAAAACTACAACATTTTTTTCTCTTCCAGATGTCCCAAGTAAATGTTCAACAGCTTTAAGAGAATAGGAATTGGATGGACGTGAACTATTATGAATTACAGGAGCAGCAAATACTTTATGACGTGCTGTTCTTTGATGGACCATCTTATACCTTTCAATAAATATATCAGCTTTTGAATCAGAACTTCCATGGAGAGATGGTGATTTATCATGTAACAAAGCCCAATTTAGAAATTTCTTTGAATCTGTACTAAAATAAAATAATAAATATCATTCTGCAGTTAAGTATATATGGAGTTTGCAACATCTTAACAAACTACATTGACACTGCAAATATTTATCAAAATATCGGTCAGTTATATTATGAATTATATCATATACGTATACTATAAAAAAATAAATAAGACTTTACTCTTTTCCAAAATATTTTATGTACGTATGGAAATCAATTTCTAATTTGAATTATTTTAAAGCAAAGTTTACTTAATCAATTACTGTTAAAAAATATACAAATTTTATTTAAATGACTTTATTTACACATGCTTATTATTTACCTAGGTATTGGATATTTTAGGCAGATTTACTTTCACTGCCAAAATAATAATCAAATATTTTTTGTTCCATGGATGAACACTTTTACTAGTTAAGCATTCTTTGGGAATGGCTGAACCCATCAGTCATTTAATCACCACTCAAGTGCACAATAAGGAGCTCAAGTGCTCAGGTGCACAATAAGGAGGGAGATCAAATTTAACCTGCAAGAAGGGAGAAGCTCTGTTCTAATTTTAATGGAAAACATCCTGGAAGGCTGGATCTTAAAGCTACCCAGACACCTTTCCCTAACACCAACATAGTAGGTAAACCTTAAAATGTAAGGTTAGGCAAAAAAACAACTTAGCGACAAAAATCTGAGGTTGATATTTTGGTTCCGCTTAAATCATCTACAAAACTTTTTTAAATGATGAATTAGATTTCCTTCAGTGTCTTTAACATCAGCAAGAATTTAACTTCTTCAATTAATGATATTTACTCCAATCCATTTTTCGCAGGGCTTTAAAATTTCTAATACCTCAGCCTTTTTCCTTGGGTCACTTTATTTGTGCGAATTGACCCTCAAATTCGTCAGGATTTTTGTTAAAGTCTATAATAATATACAGCTTCTTTTTTTGCCTAACTTTATGCTGATATCCACTGATGCAGTATAGACTGTTTAGTGCTTTAGTGCTAGTATTGTAGATATCCTACAAGTGCAATAGTAGAAGAGACTAGATGAGAATATAGCAGGGTTTGACTGAAAAAAGCAAAACAGTTAAAAAAACACATCATTTGTAAGTTGCTGAGTTTGCTTAGTCAAAAATACATATGTGTAACATTTCATGAAGATTTACATTTAAATTCACGCCAAAAAAGAATGGATTCATGTACAAGTAAAATATTGATATTTGACAATATTTAAAAATTATATTATTATAAATTATTTATATTATTTATAAATAAATGCAAAAATTTACTCTAAAAATAAAATTTTCAGCAAATAATATAATTATAACAATAAAATGTATCTATTCACATATAAGTAGTGCAGCAATATGATAACTACTGAGAAGTATACAATTAGAGGCTTTCTTCAGCAATGCCCCCATTGTTCACAGTGACTTTTTTTGTCACCAAGCTTACGAACAATAATGCTTTTCGTGATATATGGTCTAAGTTTTGAAATAAAACATATATAAGTCACATTTGCACATTTTGAGTATGATAATTAGTTTACTGAATGATATTAAGCATATGCAGGCCACAGAGAAAATATAGTTTATATAATTCATATATTGCATAATTGCATATTCTCTAGCTTTGGTTACTGTTGCACTTTAAGCATTTCTAACATTTGAAAGCAAAAATAATTGCTGAATTGATATTGAGTGAGAACAAATTTGCACTACAAATGAATGCAAATTTTTTACATAGAGATGAATCAGAAACAAATCATTATTTTTCACACTAAAAGGGTTTAGAAAATACTTACTTATAGGTATATCTGTGTAAGGAAAAGGCATCATATACTTTGAATAAAATTCCATCATCAGATGAAGCAGTTTCAAGGCTATTAATAATATTCTCAATAATGTCCTTCTCTATCATTGAACTACTAAGATTCTGTGTATTTACATGATCTAAAATTTTTTGTACTTCTTCATGCCTCTGAGTATCATCCAAAGGCTCGAACCTTTCTTGCAGGAATCGAAGAGCTTCACTAAATTATAATATAAAAACAATATAAGATAAGTATCAGATATCAGTAATACATTTAATCAGTAGTAGATTAAATTATAAACTAAATCCAAAAGGAAAATAATGCAGAGCAGGTTGGACAACTTGTTTGTTACTGTAATCGATCTTGGACATTATAAAAACTAATAGTGAACTATTAATCGACGATATAGGGGAAAGAATGATGTAGAAAATAACAATAAATGATATTATAGTTGGATCCTAGCAGAGCCCACACCCTTAGCGCAAATGATTTTGGTTATAATGCTTATCGATGTGTACATGGACAAAGGCAGTGTGCAATACTGTTTTTTTTTTTTTTTTTTTTGAATGAAAATATGTCAATGTGTACATGGATATCAAGTTTGTGCAATTCTTAGACTTGTTATTTTCAAGTTGGGGATTTTGAGAAACGCACAAAACAGTGCACATTTTCCCAGTTTGTCACAAAGGGTGTGGTCTTTCCTAGGATTTTACCGATAGTATTAACAAAACTGCACTTAAGCTACTTTCATATGATGTATGTGTTTGACTTACTGATGACCACGATTAGCCAAAATTTGCTTTATAATCGACCTGCTTTCTAAAATTAGTATGAACGATTCTACCACCTTATCAGCCTAGCATATCATAATCTTTATACTTTCCATTTAAGTAAATCTTCCACAAAAAAAAAAAAAAAAAAAAAAAAAAACTGTGAATTCAATAAACTATGTACTTTAGTCAGTTATTCAGCTACAGGGGTTTCTCAAAACTTCCTATTTGAAAAACTTAGGAAATCCTCCAAGAAGTTATCCCTCCCGTGCTTTGCCATGATTAAATAAACCACGTATCTGAAATATAGAGCACAGATGAAAGAATAGATTAATCGGATAAATAAGAAGGGAAAATACATATATTTCACTTTGTATACCTCCTCAAAGTATAGCCATGCATATTGAATGCAGATACTATGCTTGCTTTAACAGAATTCATATCGGATTTTATTTCATTAAAGAAACCCAAACATAAACCAGCATTCGCAGTCTTCCAGAACCGAAAGCGGATGAAATGAGCGCCTTTCTTCTCAGTACGGATACAGTTTATTATTTATTCATTGCATTTACTAAACTTAAAATAGTAATTCAAATACATATGATTTAATTTTAAATAAAATTTACGAAAATTCTTAGTATCATGCCGTCTAAATTTGACAAAAATACTTTAAGATTAAATTTTAACATTATTTTTGTTTTAAAAGCTAAAATTAACTTGTCTTGCACCTTAATTTCGAACGCAAATTAAAATATATAGCTTTTCTGTTTAAATTTCTATTAGTCGGATAATAACCGTATGTTGAGCCGCTAATCGAAACCAATCTAGCAATATACTATTTCTGAATAAAATATTGGCAACTAAATTAGTAATGGAGATTTTAGTTTTCTGCTATGGCGGAGGCGCGGTGGGGAAATTTGACGCATAATGTTTTAGAGATCATATTTTCCTACTTAGATTTAACTGATTTACGTGGCTGTTCTTTGGTGTGTAAAAATTGGTATCAACTTCTTAATGACGAAGACAATGATGTGTGGCGATTGCATTGTATACGAAAGCTTGCAGAGGAGGCTTTACGATCTGACATTTTATCTAGTGTTCCAACATACAAAGCTAAGCTGAGAGCTTTTTATCATGCATGGGACCCTAATGAGTGCTCTAGGAATGTATATATCAAACCAAATGGTTTTACTTTACATAGAAATCCTGTAGCACAAAGTACAGATGCTGCAAAGGGCAAGATCGGCTTTAGGACTGGCCGGCATTGCTGGGAAGTGTGGTGGGAAGGCCCTTTGGGCACGGTAGCCGTGATAGGAATTGCAACTAAAGAAGCCCCAGTACAGTGTCCAGGATATGTGGCTCTCTTGGGCTCAAATGCTGAAAGCTGGGGCTGGAACTTAGTAGACAATCACTTATTACACAATGGTGACAGTCAAGGAAACTATCCACAACTAAATAATGCTCCTAAATATCAGGTATGTAAATTGCAGTATTGGTTTATTATTTTATTAAAATATATATTAAAATTTTTCACTTGCAATAATTATATTTCAAAAGGAGCCAATCTACAGAGCCCATTATCATATTGAAAGGAACTATCAGTATTTAATAGCTTAATATTTGTAGTATTATTATGACTGCTACTCAGTTGCTAGATCCTAAAATTTAATAGCAGAAATTCCTATATATGGAAGTGTTTGAAAAGTAAAACTACATTTCAATAGATCGTAATGAAGTTTAAGTGATTTTACACATTATCCATTATTAGGATTGAAAGAGTGCATTTTTCTGTGCAATCAGAATTTCTTTTTAAAACCCTTTTGAAATTTTAGAAAGACTGTATCGTAGGCTTAGTGAAGTATTACATGGATATTAATTAATAACATTTCTGTGCCAGCAGGTCTATAAAAAAGTGGATGTTTACATGAGTGTTCCTGAAATGCTCTTTCGTTTATATCTAATTCCTTTTTAAAAAACTTGTTAAAGTGACTACCACACTTTGTCCTGGAAATTGGGGTGTCGGAAATTTAAATAGTCACCCAATTCTGTAAAGGGCAAATTTCAGATGTAATGAAGCACTTATGCATTGGTCACATTAACAACAAAGCACTAAAATATAGATAATACTACAGTTTATAATTGTAAATTGTCAGCAAAATTATGTTAAGTAGAATATCTCATGTATGGTTAGAATGAAATATTTAATAATTTTGAATTATAATGACAGTCTTAGCATAACATAGCAATATTTTAAATATAAAATATTTTTCATCAAAAGATGAGGACTTGGCTTTACCTAAAAATGCAAGGTAATCCAAAGTCCTTAACACATTCAGAAAATTAAATGTATGTCTAATTAAATGCAGTATTTGTAGCTTGTTTCATAGCAACTGAAGATTTTAATCATTGTGCTGAACCTTTAAATGGAATGAAATGATGATTCTGATAACCACCACCTACATCTTTTAAAATTATCTCAGATACAAAATTTGTATAACACTGAAGTCAGTAACACTGATGATAATCAGTTATTAATAACTTGCATTTTAAATAGCAGAACTTAAAACATGGACTGTGAGTAACATAGTTGATTTTGCAATCCATTTTTTAACACTAGTGACTACACTACTCACTACACTAAAAACTACTCTAAAAAGCACTATTCACTACACAAAGGAAATATTCACATATGTTATTTAGAAATTTCTGTGTCTTCAGTCTGTGGCACACAAAATTCCTTAACAGCATCCAAAATTTTCTTAAACCATGTTCCTATTGTAATGGAGTGCTTTGCTTTATATGGGGACCGTTTGAACCTTTCTTGCGACAGACCCATTCAACAATATCTGAAAGATCTTTGAATTTGACCATATGCATTTCCTTCCTACAAACAGGACACTTATAATAGCTACTAAGTAAACCTTCATTTACACACCAGTCGATTAATGCTTTTTTTCCCTTCCATTCCAAACCGTACAGAAACTTCAAATTAATCTTATCACATTCAGTCCTTTTGCCATGTTAACCACAAAATAAGCAACATACTTCTTAACCAATACACAAACAAGCCCTTGCAAATTTTTTCCCATCAGTTAAATTCAAGGTAGTCACACAACCAATTATGTCATAATAGGGTTTCCATAACATTCAACAACTTGGATTACCATAAAAGAAACAACAACTTGGTGATAATCCAAGAGGCATCCTTAAATATAAGCTAGCCCGTTACTAGATACTTTATTTTTATAGCTCTGTTCACAAATAATAATAAATAAATAAAACAAAACTAGTTTATAAAAAAAACTTAATTTTATGAGAAAACTAATATCTGTATGGCCCAAATTTACATTGTAGTTAAGCATTTTTGCAGTACTAGTATATAGTTAGTGTATTTATTCAGAGTTTTAACTTTTGATACCAATAGATAATTGAATGGTTGAATATGTATGGTCCATAAAATGAAAGATATATGTCATATAAGAATTTAAAGAATAAGATGAATATTACACTTCAAGTTTTCATATTAAATCTAAAACATAGTACTATGTATATATAAGTGATCATATATGGAGATAAAATAATAAAATGACATAAAAACATAAATAAGTATGTGTGTTGTGTATGTTACTGGCAATATATGAAAAACAGTCATTCTATATAATGTCAGGCAGTATATAAAACACCTGGAATGCTGGAGAAAATTATGAAGTATCCAAATTATTTTATATATATACTTCCCTAGGCATTGTACAGAATGACAAATGCTATTTAGTATTAAAACATATAAAAAAAAAGAGATTAATGAAAAGGCTTTTATTGAAAAGACACGATATAAAAGACAGTAGCACTAAAGCTTTCTTTAACAGGATAAGTCAATTTAATTTTCTTGACCTCTAACATCATATCATAGCAATTTAGTTGCCAATAGTCTGGTGGTTCCTTCTAAGCAGTCTTTCCCACTCTAACTTCTGGTAAGTAGTTTCTGCAGCATTATTTAATATTGAGTTCAGGGTTTCTTAAACTGTGGGTCGCGGGACTTGCAGCAGGTGGTCACCAAAATTGTTAGCAGTTTTCATATTTTTTAACTTATTTTACAATTACCAAATATTTTTACATAATGTATCTGAAAATAGATAAAGATAAGACAATACAGACAAGGAAAAAACGAAAACATTTTGATGCATTCTTTTTAATAATATAAACGTTCATTTTCATTTTCCTTGCTTTGCACGTTGCACTGTCATTTCGTCTGTTACTTATTTACTTTTCATATTGTTTTATGTCTTAAAATTAGAAATTCAAGTTAATGACCTAAAACTGCAATAGTATATTACAGTACAAGTAAAAAAATTGACAGTTTTACTCACGCGTGTATCAGATCTGCACAATATTTAAGGGGTCGTGACTGAGAAAAGTTTTAAGAAACCTTGCTTTAGTTTATTGTAGAATTATCATTGCATGTCTACATGCCATGATTCTTTCTCTGGCAGTACAGCTTGCTGTTACATTTTCATGCAACAAAGTATGGTTTAGACTTACGGTTCTCAACCTTTTGACTAATGTGTACCATCTAAACAAAAATTGTAAACCTTTAGTAACACCACTACAAAGTACTACTACCACCACCACTCTTGAACAAAGCTTAGAGCACATAAATTTACAAGTGTTAGCGAAAAAATTCAATCAGGATGTTGGGGTTTTAATTTTTGAATTTAATAGTTAAAAATACTTTGCTTACCATCCATTTTTCTCAGGTGTACCACCAGTTGAGAACCTCTGGTTTAGACTCTGAACAAATTCAAAGTAGCATATTTTCTCACTTCTGAACAGACTGAAATACAAATGGCAAATTCACTATGAGGTGAGAATTGAAAATCTCATGCATTACTGTATGACATTAGAGACATCATCAGTGAAAATATTTTAAACTTTTGCCAGTTTGTCTTTTAGCATTGCATAAAATGCCCAGGAATTGTGCGAAATACTAAATGTTTCATTCTTTGACATCCAGTTTTCCTCAAACTGTATATTGCTTAGGCTTTCTGTACAGTGCCTGCTTTTATACATTCGTAGTATATTGAATTTTGCTTTGTATAGTCATTTTGAGCAAGAGATGTGAAAAATTAGCAATGGCCTCTCTGGAACTTGAACCTCAACCTCTCGAATATATGCCTAGTGTGCTACCATAACATCATAAAGGCATGCAGAAAGGAGGGAGAAAATACCTTATATACTCCCCCCTTTTAAAGCATGACTGGGGATTGGGGACCCAGTTGCCAAATCATGGTGAGGAAGAATCATCACCTCCCACGTTTTAGTTCGGGCACCACTGTAGATTTATTAGAATTTTTCAAAATGAGGAAAATGAAGAAATCTGCATTGACCTTGGAGAATTGAAGTTGCTACAGCCGCCCCTTGGATTATCGTCAAGTTGTTGTTTCATTTATCGCCAAATTGTTGTTTCATTTATCGCCAAATTGTTGTTTCATTTATGATAACTTGAGTGGTTGAATGTTATGGAAATCCTATTAAGACATGATTGGTTACATGATTGCAGTGATTACAACTTCGCGATAATACAAGGGGTACCCTTCTCTCTACTCTAACCAAAATCTTTACGTATAAACATGGATATACATGTTTGTTTTGAAATATCTAAATAATTATAAAATTTTCTTTGAATCAAGTTAAATAAAATAAAGTCATCTCTGATAAAATTGAAAATACGAGCCAGCAAAATTAAGTCATTTAGTTAAAATATGATAAAAGGATAATCGTTCACATTTCTTTCAGAGTAGAATTAACTCTTTTCTTCCTGTAGGTATTAATAGGTGAGCCTAGAGCAAGGACAGGTAATCTTGCGTAATTCTAGAACTGTATTATATTACTCTCCCTATGTCAAGAGCCTAACTCAATAGTGTATATATGGAATGAGAAGCACAAGCAAAATCCTGATTAAAAATTAATAACACAATAATTTCATTATTAGCTACAGTAATTCGTAAAATAGAAGGTGGTAAAAACATTTAAAAATATGTGGAATATTAGCCAGCAGTCACTGATACACTGTCCAATAATCTGTGCTATACAGTGTTTTCAGCCTCAGTAGATCTATTAAACAAGTTTTTTTTATTAATGTTTTCAATTTATATTATCTGGCCATCTCATCAAACTTTATTCATATTCTCTGCGGCTTGTTTCTATTTCTGAATGGGAAGGCTTCTTTTGAAACTTTTTCCAGTTTTTACTGTAACACTTTGTGGATAGTTATTAGCATATCATTTCCATAGTATAGCTTCTATACACAGACTATACTATAAACTATATTCTGTATACAAACTATAATGCTTGGGATTTGTTGGCAATAAACACAATACCACCACTTCCTATCCAAACATACTTGAGTTTTTTAAACAACTGATGTTTAATAAACAGCAGTCTATATATTCTAAATTGTTATATCAGTTTTAAACTT